TGAAGCCAGGCATAAGCACTGCGTGCTTCTCCTCGAAATGCCCGTTCTGATTCCGCTCCCTTGTAGCTGGGTAGTGCCCTGGCGGCGACACGGGAGGCTTGGTGGTGAAGCAGAAACAAAGGAAGCAAGAGGGTGTGGATGATATCGCGGTGCAGACGGAAGGACTCCTTGTCTTGATCGGAGCAAGAATGGCGATGGTGGGAACAGAAGCTGCGGTGATGAAAGGTCAGCCACAATTGTACATCCTGGGTGGGTATCATTTCAAACCTACCTTGGGGCATCCATGCCCACCTCTTGGCGCCTCAGGTGCTCTCGAACGGCTATAAATGCCTCATTGCGATCAAGCTTCTCTCCATCCTTCCTGGAGATCCGAAATGGTGAGACAGCGCCGCTAGTCGACATTCTGAAATAATCAAAGTATCGCAAGGATACGTCCGGTTGAGGAAAAAGCAAAACTCGAGACAATTGCGTCGACGATGAAAACGCACAATGTCGCGTAATCGATTCAATATTGTAAGTTTTGGGATGACGTCGACTACGGAAGGCGACCGATTCGGACAAACATAGAAATTGTGGAGGAGAGCCGTAGAACCACGGATCGCATGGTCTAGCACAATCGCTTTATCTGTTGGAGAGGATCGAGGGGAGGTGAACGGTCGGGAGGGGGAAGAGAATGAAGAGGGAAAAGGAGAAGAATTGAAGGTCTTTGGAGGAGTGTCGGTAGTACTAAATACTTAATACTTAATAGTTCCATGCGATCTTTTTTAGGTCGAACAGGGAAATTCGCACGCATGCGGGAAGGGGGGGGGGACGTTCCAAATCAGGTGAAGACCCGTCTTCCACGCAAGCACTCGTCGATCTTATTTTTAGTGTCACCGTTAACTCATCTCAAACTCCTCCTTTTCATTAAAGCGTTCATGAGCGCTCATCTCCGACGGTCTCCTAACTGTTTGAGATTCGTTCGATAGGTCTCGCACAGAGTACACAGCATCGTCCTTTCCTTCATTCTCGACTCCTTCACCCCCTTTTTTTTCCTCGTTCTCAGGCGGTCAGACTTCCTCCGAGCCGATTTGGTTTAATTGAAATGGCCCATTTGGGTACAGTTGATCCTAATTTAATTGCCTTGTGGGGCCCTCAAGGGTCTCGATCGAATTCCGAACCCCCTCGTCAATCCCCTCGTGCAGGCCATTATTGCATTAGTGGCAATGTTCCAAGTTTTCACGAGAAACAACATCCACTTCTCCATGAGACAAGTCACTAATAACAGCACTAATTGCGACCGAAGTACGGAGTATAGTGAAACCAGCAGCCTGAAGGCCCATTATCTCATCGGTCGAAGCAATCTTTGACCTAGTGGCCTTAGGCAGGAATGCATCGGGCTAACACGGACATTGGAGTACAGATCTCCCGGTTCTCATTGGTGCATCAAAGTCGCTCGCTATCTCCATCAGGGGCTTTTTCCGGCAGTGAAGACTACTACCTACTGCGTAGTACACAGCACTGAATACTACACAAATTCTGTGATAGTTCGGGCCCTCCCCCCATGGACACTTTAACTTCATTTGGAGAGGATCGTCTATACACCCCGACGATCTTGGACCATGCCAATTTTCACCCCAGGTACATGTACTCGGGTTTGTGCGAGTATTAGTCGGCATTCCCCATACGTTGCGACATTCTTCTCCTCACAACATCCCCTCGCCACATAGCACCTCCCCCTCTACGTATGTGCATTGTACATTCCTTAACCCCGCAGCAACATCTCAGATCAAGCCTAGGATAGATCTCACTCTCTGATCTATCGCACACAGTCACACTGTGGCATTCTCAAGACAACAGCTTTCTTACAGGGTAGGCTAAGCAATGCCATCGACGTCATTCTACATCTCAGAACCCCGGCATGCATGTGTCTCCAGGGCAGACACCAGCACGCCGTATGGCTGGAGGTAGGGGAAGCATACTAGATGCTATCATGAAGAATGGCATCGTTGTATGATCTTTCGGCGTTTAAAAAAGACATGTTTTCTTCTCCGGTTGGGACAACACGGCCTGAATTGTGCCAGACAGTGGACGATATCATTTATACCCATCTATTGTTGGACGCAGTCGCTCCTTCCTATTCAGTTCATAGATATCATATTACACTTGTCATTCGGTTCTCCGCATACTGGAAACGTGGGTGCACACACCTGTACATCTTGGAGGCGTCTTGAATTGAACTCCATCCTGTAATCCCTTAACAGCGTTTACATCCACTAAGCCATGCGGCTGTTGTCCACTCTGTCCGCACTTGCTTGGCTGGGAGGTTTCCAAGCCTTACCAGTCAATGCGATACAGACCATCTCCGCGGTTGGCTCCAAGTTCTTCTACGAAGATGGTACTCAGTACTTTCTGAAGGGTAAGCCTCCCTGGCGAATCGAATCCACACTGTACACTAATTTGGTACAACCCACGTAGGCATTGCTTATCAACTCATCCCGGAGGATCCCTTGGTTGACACCGCACAGTGCAAGCGCGATTTTGTTCGCATGGCCGAGCTGGGCACTAATGCAATTCGCGTTTACCACGTCGATCCCAAAGCTAATCATGACGGCTGCATGGAGGCACTTGCGGCCGCAGGAATCTACCTCTTTGTGGATCTAGACACATTCGATACGTCGATCAACCAGGTCAGGACTTTCATAGACATTCGTTGGGTAGAGCTCATGCTGACTTCCACTTTTAGGACAAACCACAGTGGACACATTCCCAATTTGATCGCTATAAGGCTGTGTTGGACGAATTCCAAAAATATAATAACACCGCCGGTGTGTTCGTCGGTAACGAGGTCATCAACACTAGGGAAGGTTCGGCCGCCGCTCCGTATGTCCTGGCCGCAGCGCATGATATCAAATCGTACCGCAACGAAAAAGGCTATCGGAACATCCCGGTTGGTTACTCGGCGGCTGACATTGCAGAGCTGCGTCCCATGCTGCAAAATTATCTAGCTTGTCGTCCCGAGTCTGCTGACCGACTGGATTTCTTCTCGCTGAATGCCTATGAGTGGTGTGGTCCCTCTTCGTACGAGACATCCGGCTACAAGAGACTTCAGAGCCATGCAAGCGACTACCCTCTCCCGATCTTCTTCTCAGAAACGGGCTGCAACGTGGCACGGCCACGGACCTTTGAAGACCAGGCTGCCATTTTCGGTCCTGAGATGTCAAACACTTGGTCCGGCTCCATTATCTATGAATGGATCCAGGAGGCCAACGACTACGGTCTGGTCAAATATGGTCCACCTTCAGGCGCCTCACCCGCCAAAATGCTCGTACAGGACGGCTTTACTCGCCAAGGAGAACCTATTCCGGTGGATCCCGACTTCCACAACCTGAAAGCGCAATGGGCTAGGTTAAGGCCTACCGGAGTAGCCTTGTCAGACTACATAAAATCCACTTCCACTATCAGGCCTGCATCTTGCCCCACTTCGACACCCGGTGGATGGGCAGTGGATTCTCACCAACCTCTTCCCACTCTCCAACGAGCTATGTCGGGCGTGGTAGGTGCCGGTCCAAATCCTGGCTCCGAGTCTGGGCCTAATTCGGGATCACGTCCAGAGCATCTTGCGGCACGTGTGACTTCAGTTGCACCCTCCAATCGTGCCGTTAATGGCGCATCCTCGGGAATGAGAAGCTTTGATCGCCTTGCAGGCGGATCAGTCTTCCTCTGCATGTCGATAGGTGCCTTAGCTCTGTGGCTCTAATGACCGTGTTGGATGACTAACGCTAGCGTTGCCTTTCTGTCTTTTTTTCTGATTACTTGGCCCAGAGACAGTCCAGTTGTTCCGTGAAGCACTGCTGTAAAAAAATATATATTCACACGTTCTAGTTTTTCAAATAGCATCATAGGTGCAGGCTCGCCTGGCAGACTGAAATTCACTCATTTCATGCAATGACCTCTTCTCTAGAAGTAATTCTAATGATAGCTGATAAGTTCCCTTTCAACAAAAAACGGTACCAAGCATCAATAAATCATACTGTTCAAAGCATTACCAATACATATACATTAACTACCTTTAGTCCAAATGCATATATGCATGCATAATGTACAAAATCTAAATAGTAGTTCTGACTATTGGTTTGTCACATTGAGTTTTGCCTAATGGGGACAATAGAACAGAAAGAAAGAATATACGGTGTAAGGGGGGCAGACAATCGATTTTCTCGGCAGACGCGATTAAGCGGTCTCCTTTTCTCCCCTTCTTTTTGTTCTTCCACCTTGTCGGAAAGAAATCAAAGAACTAAAATGAAAAATTCAACGTATGAATGATATCCTGTCTTTTTAAGCGCACGTGCTTTGGGTCTTGGTTTGCGGTGGAATAGACGTGTTGCTTATTTGAGGTTGTCTAGGTCACCGGGTATCGAGTCTATGTAGGTAGCTTTGTCGGTATACATTTTGGGGTTGATGTATTAGATAGGCACATATGTGATGTTGGATTCTGGTGGTAATTTGACTGGTGAAGATTATATACTGTCTGTACATTTACATCAACACGCAAATGAGAGGCGAGACAATCATCGTGCAAAGGTTTGGCATAGACTTGTTTTTGAATTATTATACGTGTATCCCCATTAGATCCAATTGAGTATCCCCCATATTCATATTCATCGTTGCGCGGAACAGAACATATACAACCAAAGAGGGCATAACGCGTAAAACCAAGAGAGGGACAATACTATAAGAGAATATGATAAGGAATATCACGAAAACCACCCGGAACTGCGTATGTAGCTAGAAATACAATGAAAGAATTCTGTTTGAAAAGCGCTTGGATTAAGGGTATTGAATGAAGGTAGGAACGAAGGTAATTGGTACAAATTCGAAGGAAAGGATTCAGGAAGGTGAGTCGTGAAGTACATAAAAAGGGATGAAAAAAGAAAGGAAAAGAGAGGGAGGAAGGAGCTGTAAAGTACGAATTGGTGGAATGGCTAAAGCGACTAGCGTTAGGATCAAAGAGCTGTCACTCAAATTGCCATTCTGTAATTCCAAGATGGGTCGTACCAGGGGGCAGCATCCGAGTCAGCGTACCGGCGACTCTCCTGGTCTGTGTCACTGTTCTCGGCATAGGTCGTAGTAGAACCAGAGATGTTCAAGCCGGCCACGGATGGTGATGGGGATGGAGTGAACCCTATAGACTCCTCTGCGTAAATAGGAGAGTTTGTCGCTGCAGATAGAGGTGAGTGTGGGGATGCTGATCTGGAAATCGAGGGAACAGTAAGTCTTGGTGTTGTTACATGTGGCGCCTCGTGTAATCGATCCTTCGGGTTTCTGGTATGGTACTGCAGGCGTGAGGAGCAGTGCATATTAGCCATTCCTCTCAGTTGGTGTATTATCACAGAAAAGTGATGTTCAACTTGATATGCGGAGGGCCGATCGGCGGGCTCCTTATTCAACATTTCTCGTACTACGGCTAGTATTGGTCGAACAGCCTGAAACACAGAGTCTTTTTGCTTCTTTGAGTCGTGATCCAGAAGGGTAATCCATGAGGTGACTTGGGTAAGGTTCCGGTCCAGATGGAAGGAGCAATCAGCAACACCTCCTCCACGGCCGGCGGTTCGATTTTTCGCCCCGCGATGATGGGCAAATGCAGAAATCTTGCGCTTACAAAGGTGGGTGAATATATCCAGAATTACTGCCCCGAGAGAGAAGATATCTGAAGCTTCCGGGTCGGTTTGATGTGATTCCCACGTGTGGACTACGGCCGCACTGGAATTTGTACCTGGCAAACCGACCGGGTTTGTCACTGAAGAAGCACGATTCGAAGAAGATCCCGATGAGCTAGAAGAAGTGAGAGAGGGCGTGTATAATATAGGCCGTTTGATGGAGGATATGACGCGTTTACGAGCACTCCCATTGCTGGATCCCGAAGAGGACGACGCAGCAAAGGAAAATCGAGATCCAGGAAGACCAACACGAATGGCGGTGCTCTGAGAAGCCATTGAACCAGATCTTGGGCTAACAGACTCGTGTTCCGCCCGGTGTGGTCCTTTCAATATCGATAGGCCTAGCCTCATTGGATGCGTTGACTGCTTCCGAGTTGTACGCCCACCCGATGGGAGATCAACTCGTTGCGGACCTGCTTGCTGGACACTAGCCGAGCGTACCCAACGTTCTGGAGCACCATACTGATATGACTCCACATCATCTACCCTGACCGGAGGTAACAGCGTATCGAGAGCTTCGAATTGGCCCAGAAAGACCCTGTTATCTGCGTCAACGAGTATGTTCGAAGGGCGAATAGCGCCATGAACCTGGCCATGTGCATGGAGCCATGAAAGCCCATTTGCGAGACAATGTGGCCAGTTAAGCAAAATCTCTCGGCGTTGGGCTTTGGGGAGGCGCTTGAAGTGCGGGGGGATATCGGTGAGGAAAGACATCAAAGTGCGTTCGTATACACCAGTGAAAAGGATACACACGGTTTTGTCAACGAAATAAGACCCGTATATCGAATATACATGGTCATGGGCCAGTCGTCCCAAGGACTTAATCTCTTCAAGGACCTCATCTTCTTCGAAAAAATGCGGCGCCCCTCCAATTGTAACCTGCGTCCGCAAGTAAACTCGACAGACAGCACCAGCTAAGACAACCTTTTCAACACCCTCTCTCACAAGTGCTGTTCCAGTTCGCAGAAGCTCCACGGGGACGCCTTCATTCTCCGTATATTTTACATGCTCGCCTTCGCCAATTCCGCGAACAATGAAACGCCATTGGGCAAGGAAGAACCTCGATTCCAAGGAAGGATCCTCGTTTCTGGCGAAAGGTGAAGGCGATCAACGCTGTGAGCCGCAATAGGCAGGTCCGAGTCATCGAATGACTCATCTACCAAGGCGAAAATGCGATCTGGAATCTCAATATCGACCAGAATGAGAAAAAGTCTCCCCGCCTTGGAGAGAATCCAGTCGAGATACGTCTCGCTAGTCAGGCCCTCTCCCCAGGGCAAAGGCTCCACGAGGCGGTGCAGGACGTTGGATGGCAAGTGACCGAAGACATATTCTGATGACAGCGTAGCTTTGATTCTGTCTTCGGGCCACCAAAGAGACGTTGTGACGGACATTGTGTACACTCATGGCGCATCAGCCGAGACGGATGACTACCGGGGACCGGGGAGGGACACTCATATAAGTGGTTCAAGGTAAGTTCACTCTAGTAAGACAAATAGCTTTCACTGTAGACGCCACTAGGTGATTACCATATAAGAGTTCATGCAATAGATTGGAAAGGGAAACAAGAACAGAGTGGAAAATAGACATTGGTTCTTCGTCAGAAGGACGAGGTCACCATCATTAGTGGACACAAAGCTTATCAAGCGCACCGCAAGGGGTATCCGCGGTATTATTGGAAAAAAAAAAAACAAAAAAAAGCCGGTCGATAGTACGGAATAGTCACTAGGGCATTAGAGTATGACAGAAGAGGGGAACCTTCAGAAGACGGGCTCCACGATGGGTTACCCAATGGCACATCAGGATGGTTAGAGGATAACCTATGCTTCTACATTCAGTAGCCCTGGAAATAAAAGAAATCTGAAGGCACGGTCATGTTAAAGATACTAGTCTAATATTGAGGCGACAGCGGTAGCATGATGGTCGACCAGGGAAGATATCTGTGGCCATGGTTCATGAAACTTCATGGAGAATGGGGAGGTCTGGAACTAAGTGGATATATCGAGTCTTGGGGCAGTGGAGATGCTCCATGTCCAAGAGGGAGGAGTAAGCAGATGATAGAAGGATGATTGATACTCAATAGATAGATAGGACATCGGCATTGAACAACGACTGAAGATAAGCTAATGAACGTTGATGGATCACGGGGTACACCCTAAGCCCCAATTGGTTTGCTCCGAGTCGCTATCGCATGATCAGTAACAATCTTTATTGTGAGCCATCATAAGCCTGAACGATCATCACTACCTATTTTCCCCGATTCTTGATATTAACGGATTGGCGCCGTTAGACAAGGTGTCTCGAATCAAGCCATAATCCCATGAAAACCGGGCTAATCTGATTGTCGGGTCTAGAAAACCCTCCTGTCAAGCGTAGTTAATTTAGAACCACCAGGCTGGATTCAAGCTACCTAATGCAGGTGAGGTCCTTCTTTGGACAGCTAGTCGTTGTCCTTGGATGCAAGCTTATCAGTTGACAGCTTTAGAAGGTTGACTTACGCTATTAGTCACTGGGTGAGCCAAGAGATAAGGCCGGGCCATAGATCAGTCACCCAAGTCAATAGGGTTTGACCACCTTCCCATATGATCCAGTTTCGAAATCCTTCTTGAACTGAGAAAGGGCACAGCCTCAGAAGTGACTGTTGATCGCGAAATCCAATTTTTTGGTCCTTTCGCCGCCGTCCGCTCGTCTTATCTTCCTCCGCGGTGCTCTCCGCCTGTCAACCCAAGGTAGTTACTTTCGACGGCTCCAGTTTTCGTGAGATCGGCATCAACTATATATAGTCTATTGAAAGCATACTAATATGCCTCTTTAACTCCTCGGGTTGGCATATGGAGACCGGGTTCTAGTATACGTCATAGCACGGTAGTTATATGAGTAGTCCGTATACCCCGTATGAAAAGGGCCTTTCTTCCCTACGCAGTAAGAATATAAGTCAGTGGATCAATGGATCCATAGAAAGTGGGACATGATCGACTCTCTCGGGGTATTATCCATAAATAATTCGACCCTGACCAAGTATATCTCAAGAAGATTACGATCCATCCATTCATTCATTCATGGCTATATAGGTATATACAATCTATATTGGATTTTAGCAGACAAAAGGGGTAGCAACAAGATATTCGAAGAAATTCATATCAACCGCAAGTAATCTGTCAGGCGAAGACAACCAAAGGTCGCATCATAATAATCTGTAGGATTTTCACCTTCCCAGTACATCCTAGCAATGACCAATGTTTTCTTTTCCCTGGTTTTTCTCTTTGATTCTTCTTTTTTGTTCTTCTTCTTTGCTCTTCCCCCCCCCCCCCCCTTTTCCCCTTCATCAAACAGGCTAAAAGAGGATAATGACAATACCAGATTGCCCTCAATAGAAATCTCCAGTATGCCGTTTCCGTAAGCGTCGCACTCTACTACTAGCCCGATGGGCATTAGCGTCGACAGGCTGCTCCTCAGAGGACCGTCGTCTATTCCAAGCCTTCCGGAAATGTTGCTGCTCGTCATCCTGCTGTTTTGCTCGATGGACAAGGAATTCTTCATGAGCTTCTTTCTCTTCCATCAAGGCCTCGATCTAGACGATCCCAAAAGGATAACTATCAGTACTTCATGAATCCATAGTGACGCAGACGAAATGTCTATTGATTCCGAAGTGGAAACACAAAAACTAAGAAAAGGCAAAGGGAAAATGATACATACATAAGATAGCCACAACTCTTGCTCCGAACTCCACGCTTTCTGACACCTCCCCAGCTCGCTCCGTGCAATAGCCAATTCGCGCTCTTGCTCTGCTGTCCATCGGCATCTGTCGCAGACAATGCTGGCCCAGCTTACAACCCGTACCAATCGAGATTGGCTGCCGCTGCTGTTGCTGCTGCCGCCATGATGCAGGTCCAACTCGCTTGCGTTCACCGCCATCTCGGAGCCGGTTGATTGGGAGTCATCATCGTGGCAATGCACTGTGACTTCAAATGAGGGGGAATCGTCGATCCCTTTGCCCTTCCAGATGGAACGTTCTGGACGTTTCGTCAGGTAGGGGAGGCGGAAGATGTAACGAACGGTGCTGGTCACTCTCATTTTGGAATGTATAAAAATCCTCGGATTCGGACTGAAGCTCCTACAAAGAAGGAACAAACGGGGTAAATTGGCTTCTTGGGCTTGCCGCTTTCTCTTTTCAGGGATATTGCTCCAGTTTATATGTATGAGTATGTACTTTTTTACTCGGAATGGCTTCGAATACAGGTCACTGCGCTGGGCCATTCACAGCTTGAATACAGCCTAATACGGCCTAGATCAGAGGTTAGGCTTCAGGAAACAAGGACATCAGGCTCTAGATGGGGCTATTTCTACGTCGACAATCCTGTTTGGCTGGGGACCACTGCCCGCAGTTTGGTCAAAACTTCAACGGGATTGTTCGTCCCAAGTGTGGAGAGAGATGGGAAAAAATCGGAACAAATCGCCAAGCCATCATGTTTCATGCGCTGCAAAATAAGAAACCACATCCTTAGGATAGGGAACGTGGCGATCAAACTTTGCCAGGGTAAGGGGGGCCTGGAATGGTGTTGAGCAAATCATCACCGTCCAAACTCCCGAAATTGGATAACTCATATGTACCAGTTGCCAGCAAAATATACAGCATCACAGATGTTCATACATGGCCTTTTATCATTGCCGTGCAGTTTTCCCAACATATGTACTATACCTAGTGACTAGCACGCAGATTTTTAACGTAAACGTGGTCGGCCAAAAGAGACAAAAGGAGCAGCGTGAGCGTAAATAAGAAGGGCCTTTTGAGGACTATGAACCCCATGAGAAGAAAGAGATATAAACCCTAACAGGTTCCATGCACCAAACATGCGATCGCAGTCCAGGAAAGGACATGGATCCCAGCACAAGGTTGAAAACTATTCAAGCAGCTGACTCTTGTACACCAACAAAAACACTTATAGACAAAAGAAACTTAGGGGGAATCTTAAACAAGCCAAATGCCATCACAAACCAAAAAAAAATTGAGAAGCCAAAATCAAATGCGAGCCAGTAATTCAACGACACAGTATCCACCCATTTGGCCCGTCAACCCGTGTAGTCCCGAAAATACTCTCCAAGCAACACCCAAGAAACGAGGCTAAATCCGTTACACAAAAGCAAGAGCCTGTCGTTACCCAACTGGACGCTGAGTCCGGGAAAAGAAACCAAGAAAAAGAAATATATTCGTTGATTTGGGCAGTCGTCAGTACCACGAACTAGTAGGGGCACGCCTTCTTCTCGAATGCCCCGCTGTTGATTGTTCGTCGTGCAGTCGTGCTTTCATCTCTTCCCGAATCTGTTCGCCAATGATCACGCTGATCAGTCTTCTATGCAAATCGGCTTCTGTCCAGCCAACTTGGCCTGTTCCACCGGCCTGTAGGTCGGCCTTGGCCAACTCCTGCACGAACCTGTCAATAATGGCAAACTGACGCTCCGTGATGGGGACTCCATGTAAGCCGTCCGACGTCCATATCCAATCACCAATGATTTCTGAACGCCCTGGACCAGGGTAGTAAAGGAAACGTTCTGGATGTCTTTTTGCTAGGCGATAAAGGCGACGGAGGAGGATGTAGTGATCGTCAGAGAAATATCCAGAGACAGCCAACGGCAAAGGGCGATCATACGTATCGTCTTTTGATTTTACATTTGGCGACTTGTCGTCTAACGGGCTAGGAAAGCTATGTTGTTCATGGCCCCGATGCGGTCTTGGCGTTTCCTCCATGTAGTTTTCTTCCACGTTTCTCGAGTGAGACCCGTAATCATCTTCGTTTTCTGAAGCCTCGTCATATACAGATAGAGCAGGCTCTTCAATTGATTTTCTGTTTGGTACTCTCAGCCACTGAGGCGTCAGATTGGTAATCTTTTGGAGCCAGGATGATGCTTGCTGTCCGGTAGTGGAGGACTGCGGGCGTTCGGGGGTGAGGACAGGTGTCTCGTGAGCGGTTTGTGGTTCAGGTGAAACCGCATCTGAAAGATTCCGGTCGCCATGCCGCTCTAGCCACAAATCCGAGTGTTGCCTTGCATTTTCAAAATTCGTAGTTGGATCCAGCTGGAACGTCTCTTCCCCTGGGGCTCCCTGGGGACTTGACGCCAGATAATCCTCTGACTGCGGAGGTTCTTCAAGTACGTGATCCTCCTCATCCTGCGTCGCCCCCTCCACCTCTTCTGCTTCTTCCTCGTATTCATCCTCCTTTGCCTCCTCACTTTCGAACACTGCGGCTGACTGTGGCTGCTCGGAATCTCGCCCATTTTCTGTACTTGGGGGGCTGCTTTGCCCGTAGTAGTAATGCGAGCGTTTGGGGGTAGCCCCTGGACGCAACAAAGTGGAAATATCAACATCCTGTTCTCGTAGCTCTTTGATCCGCGACTTGCCCAGAAATGGCACCTTGTCGTGGGCATTGGTCCAGTACGCGGGAGAATAAGGATTACCGATAACACTTCTTTCAGATATTGAGCTATTTGATTGAGGACTAGACTCCTGCTTGTTATCGTCCAGGCTTTGATGACGATACGAAACAGACGAGCGGTCCGAAAGATCGCCTCTATCATTAGCTTCTTGTTGCCAGATATCTTCGTACCCATCATCTTCGTCTTCCTCCTCTTGCTCACTAAAGTGATCTTCTTCGGGTTGGGCATGTACTGATAGTGCATCTGCATCTCCACGGTCGATGTCAGAGCCCCACTCACGCTCTTCATCAGCTTCGGGAGCGGCTATGCCACCCTCAGGGCTCGGGGGGCCACTCAAATCACTGTCAATGACAATGACTTGGCTTGAGTTGGCCATCTGAATTTCGCGGCTAATAGCTTCCCTTTCCTGTTGCCATTCTTTCATCCGGCGCCTCATCTCGGAGCCTGGTGTATCGTAGTCGCTGAATTCAGAAGGTTCCCGCGATGGCTCCCGAGACCCGCTTGCTTCACTCAGCCTTTTGGCGTGGTTTCTGCGATAGTTTCCATCTCAGAGACTTTTCTTACGTTCTCGATCTCTGCCTGCACTCGTCTCTTCGCGAGCTCTTGGCCAAATTTCAAGGCCGACTGTAAGTCACGTTGTATTTCTGAATCGAATTCGCCGAAGAGCAGCTCTAGTCGTTTCCTAGAAGTCTCTAAGCTGGATATCTGTTCTTGCGACTCATGTATATCCGGACTTGACAGGAGACCCCGGGGATATCCCCGGTCATACGGACGCCTTAGCGCGCTCTCGAGGGCAATACCCACACGGACTAACCTCACCAACCTAGCCATCGGTCGTCGCTGTCCTCTAGTAGAGGTTTGAACCGGAACAGGGGCTGGCGAAGTAGGGGGGGGGTATGTCCTAGCGTGCCTGAAGTCCACAGTACCCTTCTCTTGTGCCAGAGTCGATGGTTCGGCCTGTGTTATTAGACCAGCATCTTCTTCATTGGCCTGATTTCGGATGGAGGATTTCCTTCTCAAGACACCGTTACTTTCTCGCTCCAGAAACGGCTTTAAGGCGCCCTTTGCCACTTGAGAGCTGGCGCTGAGTCCATGTTGTTTAGCCGACGGCAATGTATCCAGTGAAACCATGCTGAACCCTTCACTCTCCATTATAGAATCAAATTCTCTGTGTTCATCTGTAGGGTCGTTTGTAGCATGAACTCCGCTTTCGCGGAAGCGATTACGCGAAACTGAGCTTTGTGCCCCTCGGTCTTGTCTCTCCTCATCTACTAATGATGAGGATGTTGGGGTGGGATAGAGACGAGCCGGTCTAGGCGTACGACCAGCGTATATGGTGTTATCCGGAGAGATAATCTGGCTCTCCCGAGAAGGGGAAGGCATCTTTGATGGTGTTGAATGTATATTCTCGTCATTTTGCATATAAGCATCATCCATATAATCGACATTTGGCGTATCGTAAGTACGCTCATATTCAGATTGATGACTCTGATCCTGCGGGTTATTATCAAGTTGCTCCATCTGAACGTCACCCTCAAAGGGCTCCGCATAGCCTTGATCATCCGGCAAGCCGTCGTCAGATTCCCCATCTGCAGCAAGGTTCAGGGGATCCCAACTTGGCTCGGGCTCGACAACAGATGGCTCAGCTATTTGACTGTTTGCCACCTGCGCGCCAATGTTGTCTTCCGGCGCCGGAAGATATTTCCTAGGTCTTCCTCGCTTCCTCTTTTGCGCACTTGCGCCTCCCGGACCAGGAGTATGGCCAGGGCTCCCCCCATTCGGAGTCGTACTTTGAACCGTCATGTCTGACTTCCTCGGGCGCCGCGGCGTTTTCTGGGGGTCTGCTCCATGGTGTCTGCTTCATCCTTCAGCGGCACTTTGGTTGTCATGGCAGAATTCCGGGGGCGTTTGCGCGAAGGGCTGCCTTGGTTCATTTCCTCGTCTTGTGTTGCCTCCAATGTCACCCGAATCCTCCACGGACTCACGTTCCCGTCGGGCTGCACCATTTCAGGGGAAAAGGGTTTTTGCCGACCGCTCATTGTCCTTGACGGAGACCCGGGGAGCACCACATCGTCGAAGCGGATAGAATGCGAACTTTTTGTAGGACTCAAGCTGATGCGCCTTCTGCTTTTGGCGAAGCGCGGCGTTTGAAGGAGTTTGAAATTTGCAGGCGACATGACGCTTTGGCGCCCGGGGAACGGCTTGAACGGGGAGGAAACCAAATATTCGACGTCGCCAGGTGGCCCAAGAATGTCCGGCGAAGAGCTAGAGCTGCGAAAGGACATAACGACATGCAACAAGCGATAAGATCATAGGATACCTCTCGACCCCAGTCGCGTGTCATCAGGCAGAGACAGGTTAAGGGATTTCTCGAAGAACGTTGCAATTATACAAAATCTTCCATCATTTTAGTAGCAGGGTTACCTACAAGAGGTTGGACTTCTATAGGAATGATGATGATAGGCCGATAATCGCGGGGAAACAGAGCAACCGCAGAGCATAACATAAACAAGTCTCCCGATCAGGCAGGCCGAGGGTCCGGCCCGATTTGCTTCGCCGCTAAAGGTTGAGGGGGGCGCGCTCGAATTATGTAAGCGGATAAATGTTGTTCCAATTCGATAGTCAGGTTACGGGATGGTAAAGGAGCTCAAGGTGCAGGCTCACCTGCGGGACTCTGCGGGACCGTGTAAACCCCTTGCGAATGCGATGCGATGTACTGTAGTACTTACATTATGATGATCCCATATTTGTTAAGAAGTGTGTAACATGTGGTAATTTCTGGATGGCACCCAGCCATGCTACATGCATAACCACTAGGTAGCCATTCTCACCCACGCGGTGGTTTCTTTGGTAGCTTGGCATCAGACAACAGAAGAGTTAAAGATGAACGATCGACAGGCCGCTTTCCTCCCCCGCATCCTCTTAATTTGTCCCCCCACCGGAAAGTTCTTGTTCAGGACTAGCTCAGTTGCCTCATTCCCGTGGCTCTCATGGTTGACCCCCTATGGACGTACTACTTCCCGCGTTCTCCTTTTCCCCATCATCACTACCTAGTATTCACTACAGCGGAGAGGGACTGGGCATTAGACCACCAGGTGTGCCACATACCTGGTCCTACATTATTACAGTACCTGTCATCACTGAATACATCAACTACTATCGCAATTGGCTCATCGAGGTCAGGGATCATCGATCAAGTGGTGGACGGACGCATACTTCTACAACCCGCCATACTGAATCCGTCGACGGCACAGAGCTTGTTGGCAGTTACGCGGTCTAATGCACTAGCATTGACCCTGCCCAACTAACGCATCCGTGGATTTGCCTCCTATAATTTGCTCGGATAATTACAAACAATCCAGTCCAACCAACAACTCGGGGAAATCGAATTTTTACCCCAGTTCCGCTGTTGCTGTGCTTTGGTACCCCCGCCCGCTGGTCAGGCGCCATCATGAGGTAGGAACAGGATAAATAGTAGTATGATTCACTCCTTTAAATCTTACCAAGGATTCTCCCAGCTCCTTGGCTACTTACGCTCCTTGCTCTACCCTGCTCGGATCACCCTTCGTCTCCTGTCGGTCTATTGCTTCATCTTCCTAACTGTTACAACGCTTTTGGGAATCAGAATGCATCTTAGATCATATTTGTCTGCTGCCCTTTATGGGCTACCAGCACTGGCTCTAGATGCCGCCGCATCGTCTACTTCAAATTCCTCTACTGTAGATCCATTCAAAGTCTACACCATCACTGCGGAGAATATCACCGCCAAGTTGATTCCATATGGAGCGCGTCTGACTTCTCTGCTCGTGCCTGACCGCGATGGCAACGAACAAGATGTAGTCGTGGGCTATGATGACCCTAAGGATTATTTGAAAGACACCGAGACCGACCACACATTCTTCGGCGCTGTTGTCGGCCGTTATGCCAACCGTATCAAAAACGGCACCTTCCAAATAGATGGTGACAAGTACGACATCCCTAAGAGCGAAAACAACGGTACCGACACATTGCATGGAGGCGATGTCGGTTATGATCAGCGCAACTGGACTGTCACAGCTCAATCTGATTCCTCCATCACTTTTACTCTGCTGGACCGCGCGCTGGAGGGCTTCCCTGGAGATGTCATCACTCACGCCGTATTCAGCGTTGATTCTGATGTCACTGCTGAGAACCCCAAGGGTCTGCCGCAGTTGACCACCAAGTTAATCTCGTTGGCCCTGACGGAGAAGACTCCAATCATGACTGCCAACCATATCTACTGGAATCTCAACGCGTTCAAGGAGACCAATGTGCTAGATGACACCTTCCTTCAACTACCGCTATCCAAGCGGCTCATCGGTACGGACGGCATCTTAATTCCCAACGGAACCATCCTGGGTGTCGACTCGTACGACGGAGCAGCGGACTTCACCACCGGAAAGCTTGTAGGCAAGGACATCAAGAAAGCACAAGGGCTGTGTGGAACGGACTGCACGGGCTATGACAACTGTTTCATCGTGGATCGGGACAACGCATATGGCCCAAGCAACTCTATGGTCCCAGTTGTCCGTATGAACTCCAGCACAACCGGAATCAGTATGGAGGTGGCTTCAAACCAACAGGCTGTTCAGATCTACTCCTGCGTTGGTCAGAAGGGTAATATTGCCATCAAGCCGTCCCAGGCCAAGCGGAACGAGGAAGAAGGTATCGAGGGCGCAAAGGCTGTCAACCAGTATGGGTGCATCGTTATCGAGACCGAAGGTTGGATTGATGGAATCAATAACCCCGAGTGGGGCCAACTGTCAGACCAAATCTATTCCCCCACCGGAGCTCCAGCAGTTAACTGGGCTACGTATAAGTTTGGTACTGTCTAAACTATCCACGCCGCAATTCTGGTTATCTAATGTCTTGATGGCTCTAATTTTTGGGCGATTCTCAACCTCATCGTATTGTATGTACATTTTACTGCCGTCGGGTAAATAATGTGATTGAATATTAAGAAAATCAAAAAGCATCGTAGACCCTAGTGCTTAGTGTTCTAAAGTCATAATATTAATTGTAAATGAAATGCTGAGTTCAGGGTATCGTGTCTAAGTCCAGTCATTTAGAGGAATTCATCAAAATGAAACAGCAAGTGAACAATATGCTACCAGCTGTATCGCAACCAATTTTCAACGCTTTACAGCCCAATACACACTTCCTTCGGTAGTGCATATTCATCCCCATCCTGCTAGAGTCCAGCTCGACCGGTCTCCACCAGATCGTAGCCCTGACCGTCGATCAGGGACATGGCCATGGGTATCAAAGTCACGACTAGCACCAGCAAGGCCATGTTGAAGAAACTTCTCCCGCTCAATCTCTACCAGAGACCTTATCTTAAGGCTCGCCACAAGACTAGCTCCAGCCCAAGGTCCAAGAGATTCGACTTCGCGCAGAACTCCTTGAACCGCGGGTTTGGTATCCTTGTCTCTAGTACGGTGGAGCTTCTCCTCGACGGGATCAATCTCCTCTTCTTCACTATCCCGTTTTTCTTGGTCACCCTTCCCCACAGACGTTCTAGGTGACGGCGGTGTGGAGTCGTTAGCGTTGTCGACCGAGGCCTGACGCTCACTGAAACGCAAATTTTGGAGCCTCTGTCTTTGTTGCTCAATAACTTTACCACGTACAGGACTCCAGCCATATTGATCAATAAGGGACGATACTTCAGCAAGGACTCGTTGTCGGACACCAGGGATGTTAGCTCCTCCACCGACGAACACTATCCGTGACATACAGATGCCGCGGACATCGGGCGGTAATTGTAGGAGCGTGTTGTACGCCAGCAAAGCAACCGGCTTTTCTTCGTCATCCAAGTCACAATCCGCTACGCCTTTAGCAAAAAGGACCTTTTCCACAGGCTCTGAAAGTTTAGAGAAGGGAATATCCATGTAGTTCGAGTTGGGGTTTGATGGAGATGGGATTGACACGGTTTTGTGCAAAAGACCGGCGAAGTCCTCTTCTGTAAGCTCATTGTCTCCCTCTTGAAGGCCAGTCAATTGCGACGAAGCAGATAATTCATGATCACCTGCCTGAGGCTTACACCACAGGAACCGGCTAACAACTTCTTCACAGTACTCAAAATTCACGGAGATCTCATCTGCATCCCCGCTACTGTTCGAGGACAGGCGAGTGAAAAATCTGCCTGTTTCCTGAAGTAAAGACTTCATGGCCCTTGTACTCCGCTTGGCAGAGATCTCTCTGTACTCATATATTCCAGTTACCGTTGTTTCCGCCCATCCAAGGTCTACCACCAACGCTGAACGCAAGCCAGCTGCAGCCACCGCCATTGTGGGGCTCGGAAGGAGCGTGATACTAGGAAAGCGCCATCGGCTGAACAGTGTCGACAAGACGGAAGACAGTAGTGGGTGTGGCATAATTGACGGAAGAACGAGTACCAATCTCGCCGTTCCCGCATCCGTCAAGAGGTATTTATTGTATGTCTCTCGGAACATCCGCTCGATTTTGTCTTCAACAAGACCCAAGTCAACATCACGCACGTTCATTTTCCATAATTCATATGCACCCGTCCACTCTTCTGCTTTTATTGACTGTGGGCGTAATGTATCCGCGTTCAGGCTACCTTTCAGCCATCCTCTATAATCGCCAGCCCTCCTTGAGTCTTCTGGCCCACACCCGACCACACACGTAGGCGTGCTGTCGCCCTCAAATCCAGCCCGAAGCCATCTGGAGCCAAATTCAAAGACTATCGCATCCTCTTCCCCACGCAAAGAGCTTGCCGATGAGGTGCTTGCGAAGGAGGAATTATTAGAACGCAGGTTATGTTGAGGCGTAGAAGGTCTGCCGGACTGGCTATGTCGCAAGCTCATGGAGACACTTGTGCGACTGTCATCGAGGTTGTAAGCCGTAGAGCCGCTCGTCATTTCTTCGTAGTCTATACTGTGGTATATGCGTTCACTTCAGATTGCGGGGATGGATCAGGGGTGGAGAATCGGTCGGTAGGCACGAATCATGCTTTAATTTTCCAGGTTCAAAGAATCCAATTCATGATTGAACTCTCAGGAACAAATCAAGCGATCGTACGAATTTTACTTCGCAGGGATTTCAAACTGTCAAGAGCAAAGATACGGAAAGTGCAACGGCCACCACGGCTTTAGTGAGGACGGATCTACATCGGACCGCCGCGCGCCCCCCCGACGTCAACAAACAACTCTCATACATACAATATTCAGAACTCTCCACGTCTATACCGTCAGGAATACTGCAAATTGGGTGTTTTGGTGTTTTTAATTTGTAATTTCGACTCCAGCTTAATGGGGATTCCGGGGTAAGTGAAGTCATTTCGGTTAACTCAGGCAGAAAAACCATCTAAATATATATCTCTCTTTTCGCAACGGCTTTCCTTACGAGTCTAAAAATTGAGCACTAGCTGACACAAATTAGGCTCATCAATGCAATTGGGCCTGGCGAGCGCATATCTCTATCAAAACTAGCAATAACCCATCTAGAGCGAACAGCGAGGCCTATTCGTGTTGCAGTGGATATTTCAATATGGCTATTCCAGGTGCAGGCAGGTCGCGGCGGCAAAAATCCGGAGCTACGGACTTTGTTCTACAGGTTGCTGAAATTCTTAGCCCTTCCTGTCCACCCGTTGTTTGTCTATGACGGGAAACATAAGCCGCCCTTTAAGAGAGGCAAAGCTACGGGAAGTAGTTATGGAAGTGCACCTATCATTGGGCTTTCCAAGATCTTGGTCGATCTGTTCAGATTTCCTCGTCATGATGCGCCCGGGGAAGCAGAGGCGGAGTGCGCCAGACTGCAGAGGGCAGGTGTCGTGGACGCGGTGATGAGCAATGATGTTGATGCTCTCATGTTTGGGTCAACGTTGACGATTATGAATTTCTCCAAGGAAAGCGGGAGTGGCACGTCTGCCGCAACGCACGTTACCTGTTATGAAATAGGGAAACTTAACTCATCCTCATGCTCAAGACTGGATCCTGCTGGCATGATCTTATTTGCTATGTTAAGCGGAGGCGATTATCTGCCATCCGGAGTTCCGAAGTGTGGTAGCAAGCTCGCTGCAGAAATTGCAAGAGCTGGATTCGGGGAAGATCTTTTGGAAGTGCTCAACTTAGAAGAAACTGAGCTTGACATGAAGCTGAACGATTGGAGAGAAAGGCTCCAGTATGAGCTTGACGTGAACGAAAGTGGTTATTTTCAGACCAAACACAAGGCTGTTCGAATTCCGGAAAGCTTCCCAGACAGGACAGTCTTGTCGTATTATGCCAAACCTAGAGTATCAACATCAAAGGATCTCGAAGTTTTACAACGCCGCTTAGAGACTGCCTGGGATCGGGAAATTGATGCTTTGGAATTAAGAAGATTTGTTGCGGATACTTTTGAGTGGAAGTATCGCTCTGGGGCAAGGAAAGTGATAAGGTTGCTTGCCGAACCTCTCGTTTCTTACCGACTTCGTCTCCGGAAGGACTTGACTGCGTTTCCTTTCAGGTTATCTGAAAGCGATGCACCAATGCTCCAGAAAGTTTATAAGAGCAGGACGAGTTTCAGCACAGATGGCTTAACAGAGCTGCAAGTTGATTTTGTCCCGATTGATATTGTTGGCTTAGATCTGCTCGCTGAGGAACCCAATCCTCCACTTCCTCCGCAAGAAACGGCGGCTTCAGGCGATGAGGAGGAAGATGTAGAAGTTAATGTTGAGCCTGCGCCGCAGTCACCGGTTAAGAAACGTGCCACGAAGCGATTTGATCCTTATTCCTCAGAGAAAATTTGGGTGTTTGAAACATTGGCTACGATTGGAATCCCCGAGGTTGTGCAAAGTTGGAAGCAGGAAGAGTCTGAGAAGGCCTCTGTTCCTAAAAAGTCAAGAACTAGGAAAACAGGGCCAAAGAAGAAGGGACCGATAGATCCAGGCATGAAGCGAGGAAGTATCCTGAAATATGGCACTCTCACCAAAGAAAGATCCGAGATCACGCAACTCAAACAGGCACAGCTCTTTGAAGCAGCAATATCATCAACATCGACGCCAAAGAAGCACAGTGCATCAAATGTGCAAGGCTCCCTGAGCGCTTCCAGAGAATTGCCTAGCCATGGCCTGTATTACCAACAGCAAACGACCGCTTACAATCGAGGCGAAGGTTTTGATAATTTAACCGATATGTTCTCTTTATGCAATATATCACCTAACGTGGGCATCAAACGGCATCCAGTGACTACTCAGCCTCCTCCCAGAGGTAGACGTGGGGTAGTCCTCTCGGGCGACTCTGAGGTAGAGGCTCTAGAAGTTTCAGGCGCAGAGACTTTGGACTGCTCTCTACCTCCTTTGTCTCCGGGGAGAATCCGTATAAGCTATTCCAATGTTAGCTATAATGACATGACCATAACAGACAATATGGAGCATTCTCCCTCTGTACATGCGAAGTGCCGCAACAGGTCAAAGCACGATCAAAGTATATTCAAAACTCAGCGCTCTCAAGGGGTCCAGAAGCTGGAGCAAGCCATATCCTCGTTGCTTTTGGATGATAGTAAACCACATGGATCTACCAAAGAACGATCGCATTCATCGAATATTGCCATACCTGCTGCTAGGCGATATCTGCAAAAGCCAGAGGTTAGAAAGCCACATTATGATTGGACTATCCCCAAATCTCGGCCGGATGGTGCCTCGATAGATTTGGAAGAAGTTAGGCCGCCTAGTGTCCCGGATATTCTGGAGAAAATGGCTTTTGGAAAGCGTACAACGCAACGGAAAAGCAGAGTGGAGACCCTTACCACACCACCAAAACCATGCAAGAAAGACACTTCGGAGCCTGCAAAGTCGGAAACAAAGACAAACAATTTAAGGGATATAAAGAAAGACGCCATCAAGTCCAGTTCCTATGCAGAATCTGTCGTAGTTGGCGATGGGTACTGGACACTAGACACAGCTCCAGAAGTTGGGATGGCCTCAGATGAATCAAAATCTGAAGTTGACAACAACACCACGAATGAGAGTGCAAGAAATTGCAGAGGCAAGAAACGGCTCCCACGCGTGAGCATTTTGGACCTTAGTTGAACCGATATTTCTAACTTGTTTGCGTGCCTTGGACTCATGAATTTGTATTCCCTTGTCCTTTCTCTCCCGTTCTTGAGCGTTCTAAAAAGGGGATTGGGATCTAATACTCAGGCGTTGGTGGAACTAGGGTTAAAGCACTATTTTGTTCTTTCACGTATTCAATATTAAGCACTATCCTTCTGATATCTAGCTAGATTAAGTACATACATGGATACATAATCATACTGAGATAAACAAAAAAATGATATGAACCCAGAATCGGAACAAAACACCCAGGCCCGCAGCCCTACTAGAAGCTGCGGAGCCATCGAATTCGCTAGTCAAAGGTAGTTCTCTTCTATCTATAAAGCAAAGCAGAGGATCTTCGTCGGTATTTAGCAGAATAAGAGGTGTTGGCGCTAGCTTCCAGTGGTATAATAAGAAGAGTAAAAGGAAGACAGGTAAAAGAAAGAAAGCAGACAAGGAAAGAGAGACGAGTATAGACAAATGGACTCGTTCAAAAAACAAAGAATTCGCGGTATCAAACAAAAAAGGTATCACCTTTTCGCTGCCCATCCGATTCTAGACCCTTAATCGATACAAGACCAAGTACGATATGTAGACAGAAAGGGAAGCCAAAAACAAACGCCGGAGATGGTATCCTTCAAATCTTCAACCAAAAACCTTCAAAAAGCCCCATAAACCTATTCCACTCAGGATGGGGATGGTGAAATTGTCATCCCAGCCGAAAAGGTCCACGAACTCACTGCCGGCTGCTACCAGACCAGAGACAACGCTCATGACGCCGAGTGCCAAGGGGCCCGAGATAACAGTGTCCGCTGTCCAGCCGATGAGATTCTTGACTGTGTCTGGTATGAGATTGAGACGGCCGGTGAACATGAATGCGTTCTCTGGGTCGCTGGGGAAAGGACCGACGTTGGGTACGAAGAGACCCCAGAACGCAGCGGCAGTGACCACTCCAACAAGCCACGCGCTCAAGGTTCCAGCAAAGCTCTTGCCTTTGCGCAGCTGGAACGTGTGCCGGCCGTAGAGACGACCGAAGGTAGAAGCGGCGGTGTCGCACCAACTTAGGAGCAGTACGCCCATGACTCCTACATCCTTGGGGAAAAAGCGCAAGACCGCATATGCGCCAAGCAGATACCAGATCACGCCATTGTACCCTTTTACTTCGGTCTCCCGCATGAGCGCCCCAACGCAGCGAATGTAAAGCTTATTGATTGTCTCAGAGCGGTGACGAACCACGTCCACTGCGGCTATTGGTACTAGCGCCCCGAACAGCCAGGGAGTGATTTGGGTAGTTTGGATGCCACGGCTGTACAGGTGAAGAGTAAAGAAGCCGATTGACACGTGGAGGGCCTTGCGCGGTATTTCATGCCGATGGATAAAACTGCGATAGCGTGTATGAAGAGGAATAAGCCCCATAGGGGAGGGGGATCGCGAGATGCTATGCGCGATACCGTCAGCCTTCCCAAGCGGCGATAAGAATCCGTTGGGCTTTGCTCCGCCGTTTATTTGTGTCTCGGGGCTTGTTGCAGGCTGCATCGGGTTGGATTTCCGCTTCCTTTGCCTAGTTGATCCCGGAGGACCAGTCGGACTCCCAGAACGAGTCCGCGAGCGCCTTGATACCGACTCCCGCTCATTATTGCTTTCCTCTGATACATCTACTAGTCGCTGTCGTCGCGCTGCAGAGCGAGTTGTGGGGGCAGAGTATCCGTCCCTGGATCGTGACCTGCTTTCTGAAGGAGCAGGCGAAGGAGATATGACTCGAGGAGTCTCCGGGATCGCATCTTGGGAAGACATATTGACTGCTCGTAGGGCAAACGGCGGAAGAATCGGAGATTGAACTAACCCAGACAATGGTCGCCGAGTTGGAGAGGAACGATTGCAGGCAGAGATGCTGGGGATTAAGAAACTGTCTGCTTCTAACGACGCAATGGTGGGCGACTATATACACAAAAGTGAAAGATGTATTATTGATGTCGAGTGATGCGCAAAGGAATAACACTGCCACACATAACGTTATGGTCTCAGCTAAAGATCGACACAGCCAGGAAACCACAAAAGGACAAGTATGGCGGAATATCCGAAGGGTATCAGCCTGCTGCCGACAGCCTACCACCGATTTTTTCTGATTTATTGTCGTGTCGACAGAAATAATTCGCCGAGCCTTCCGCCAAATCCGTATAGTGTCACGTGTGACCGGGCAGAAACACTCACCGCCCACGATATCTAATCAGTAACTGATAAGGCCTTTTTTTCTAGATTTTTTTTAATATGGTTGTATGGGCGACGGAAGTTCCCTCGTTCGAATAATTTGTTGAGGATAGGCTCATAAGGGAATCAATCCTTCTCCAGGCTGTCAAAATGGCCCCAAAACCGCCAGCTGGTACATCTTCTAGAGCCTGGGATGGTGTCTCACCTTCTCTGTCGGAATGGGTGCTGGAAGCCGTTTCGTCTATGGGCTTCACGCGGATGACGCCCGTGCAGGCGTCCGCTATTCCTCTATTCATGGCCCACAAAGATGTTGTAGTCGAGGCCGTTACTGGAAGTGGAAAGACTTTATCTTTTTTAATTCCCATCGTGGAAAAACTCCTACGTCTTGAAGAACCTATCAAAAAACATCACGTTGGCGCGATCATCATTTCCCCGACGAGGTAGCCATAGTCTTTGCTTAGGAAAGAAAGTACAAGTATGCTGACTACAAGTACAGGGAACTTGCATCACAAATCTACCATGTGCTACTCTCATTACTCGCATTCCACCCTCCATCTGCCTCCGTCATTAACCCTTCAGAAGACAATGACGTTCTCCGGCAAAAATTCCCATCGTCTACCCTTAAGGTTGTTCCCCAGCTCCTTCTCGGAGGTTCTACTACGCCAGCAGAAGACCTAAGCAAATTCTTGAAGCAATCGCCAAACCTGCTCATCTCCACACCTGGACGTTTGTTGGAACTACTCTCTTCACCTCATGTCCACTGTCCCCAGTCTTCGTTCGAGATGCTCGTCTTGGACGAGGCAGACAGACTTCTGGATCTTGGGTTCAAAGAAACTCTGCAGAATATCATACGCCGGTTACCCAAACAAAGGCGGACGGGATTGTTTAGCGCAAGTATCAGTGAAGCCGTTGATCAGATTGTGCGGGTTGGTTTGCGCAATCCTGTGAAGGTCATGGTTAAGGTCAAAGGAGCTTCAGGTTCCCAGGACAAGCGAACACCTGCAAGCTTACAAATGACATACCTTACGACACCCACGATTCACAAATTCCCCGTCTTGAAGCAAATTCTCCATTCCGTTGATCCAACTCCCCAGAAAACCATATTTTTCGCCTCAACCTGCTCAGGAGTTGATTATCTCTCTGCGATCTTACCATTGATACTTGATGACGATTTCCAGCTCATTCCACTACATGGAAAGCACCCGGCGAACGTCCGTGAAAAGAACTTCAACCGATTCGTGAATTCATACAGCCCCGCAATTCTACTAACAACGGATGTCGCTTCTCGTGGTTTGGATATCCCATCTGTTGACCTCGTTGTCCAGATAGATCCTCCATCGGATCCTAAAACATTTATTCATCGATGTGGCCGTGCTGGCAGAGCCGGCCGAAGGGGTCTAAGCGTGGTCTTGTTGCATCCAGGACGGGAGGAAGACTATGTATCTTTCCTCGAAGTTCGCAAGACTCCAGTAGCTCCTTTCCCACATTCCATCTCCTTCTCAGATTCCGAAGCTACTGCAGCTACGAATGCGGCCCGCAAGGCTGTGCTGGCAGACCGTGCACTCCATGATCGTGGCCAAAAGGCTTTTGTCAGTTGGTTAAGGAGTTATAGCAAACACCAGGCGAGCAGCATTTTCCGTGTCGCAGATCTTGACTGGGAGAGTTTAGGGAAGGCATGGGGTCTGCTGAAGCTACCCAAAATGCCCGAATTGAGGAACTTTACTGGTGACCGGACCCTCGGTGTCAATCTGAATTGGGATGACTATAAATACAAAGACAAACAACGAGAGAAACGCCGCATAGAATTGCTTCAAGAGAGCAAAGAAGCAGACGGTACACAAGAGACCTCTAACAAGAGAAAGGCCAACGAGACCACCTCATGGAGCAATAAGCTTGAGGATAGAAACAAAAAGCAAAAGCGACGAGAGCAAAAGCAACGTCGACAGGAGAAGAATAGGTGGGAGAAGATGACTGAAGAAGAGCAGCAGAAGGTGCGGGAGACGGAGCAAATGGTGGAAAGTATCAGAGTGAAGAACGAAGAAGAGAGGCGACTTAGACGCGCAGGAAAGACCGAGGCAGCAAACGCTGGCAAGGATGAGGAAGAGTTTGAAGGGTTTGATTAAGAAAAGTTACAGAGATACCTCTTTGTTTGCTTTGGATATATATGACGTCTGAATCTATATCTCATAGCGCCGTGATCGAACGGAATGATCAACCTACATGTATAGTAAATGTACATACTTGAACATAGAGAGCATTCCTTCCATCATGGACTTAGTTGAATATCCATAACCACTGAACCCTCACATCATGTAGCATTTTACTATACCATCGCTCGATTAGGACTGCCCTCCAAGCTTAACCCAGCTGTCCGCATGTCCTCGATAACCCTGAAATACAACCCACTATGAAGACCACACCATTCACCTGTCCTGTCTTGTCTCGTCGTTCAAATGCCGCTTAGTACCCGCTCCCTGCATCCTATCCACCTATGACGGGTCCACATCAAGCATACTCCTCGGCGGCGCTGGTAACAACGACGGAAGACCAGAGGATGGTACACGTTCACGCACAGCCGAATTCTTGCCAGACATGCTCTGGTCAGATCGCTGAAACCCCTCGAAGGGACCAGGCATGCGCGAAGAAGAGGGAGCAGTTGCAAACGAAGAAAACGGCGGCAAAACAACAACAGTTGTGTTGCACACGCCCGGGAGCCCATTTCCAACCTCCAAATGAGACATGTCTCGATTTTCTGCCTGACTCATCTGCCCAAGTCGTGGCAGGTGGCTACTGCACAGTTTGCAGTACCGCGGGGCAATGTCAATCAGAATGAATCGGTTGCAGCAGGCGACTATCACGGGCTGTGGGTTGTTGTTTGGTGAAGGGTAGTATTGGGCTTTGATGCATGGTTGGAGCAGTTGAAGGAAATCGCAGGTGCAGTGCGGTTGGTTGGGTTGGTAGTAACACATTCTTTCTATTGGTTTGAGGTTGTTCGTTTGAAGGGGACATATGGGGAATGCCTACAAGGTTGGGTGAGACGGGGAAGATAGTGTCGCTTTGGTGGGGGAGGGAGGTGATTTTTATGTTATCCTCCAGAGGGCTGCTCTCTATGAGCCTGAGTTTGGGGGTCGATCTGGGCTCACTATTGTGAGACAGGGGCGTACCTGTTGCATGACGACGGTGTAGGAATATGCCTCGAGAGGCAATGAAGGCTCAGCTTGAGTGTCAGCGTCCACTGTGAGACATTTGGAGGTTCTCTCATTATAAGATTACCCGAGACATGAAGACAAGTGGCAAGCTGTGGATGTATTCAAGAGCAATAATCTTGGCCAGGGATGTAGTAGCCTTAAAGAAGCAGACTGGATAACCGAGGGGGTTCTAAAAATAATACGCAAGTGTATTGTAGATATAAACAATTCCCATTTGCCAAAAAAGAGAGACGCCTGAATGCGAGAATCAACGCAAATAACATGATGCTCATGCATAGCTCCAAATACAATGATTTAACAAACTCCGGCATACCATAGAAACCAGTACCATCGACCGTGATCCCAAAGACAGAAAGTCATCAACTAGAGGGTCTAGAACTTCATCCAATAGGCTGAAGGAGACCGCAGCTAGCCATGCCCATACAACAAATATGTATACCCAAACTCCAGCTATCAAACCTAGCAATAATCCTTCGAACAGCCCTTTGGGCCCATCTAAATCCCTCGGACGAGGAACGTGGCGAATCAGCCAGGTAAAAAAGGTCGAAGAAAAACCACTTAAACATAAACAACATAAAAGGGGAAGAGCAGATATCGTTCCGATCAATTATAGTCAAGACTTCATTTCAAAGTCCTTTTGAATTCTTCAAAACTCTGGCGAAAAGCAAGGTACGCTGGTTCAATCTCGGAGTCGTCCCAAATCGTAGCAAGGAGTTGCATGGAGGTAGAACTAACACCAAGGCTCTCTTCATAGCTTTGCCTTGCCGGCCACCTAAGTTGACTGAGGTCTCCAGAAGGACAATTCTGATAAAGCCATTCTGCGTCACGAGCGAATTCATCATCACCGAAGTTTTCGGGTTCGTCAACTTTAGCAGGCTTTGCAATCAAGTCGGATTTCTTGGTTGTCTGGTTGGAGGCAATAGTATCGGGAGTGGCAGTCAATGGACTAGCATATCGGCTTGCAGTACGGAGACCACTAGGGGTCTTCGGCTTGTATTTCTCTGCTTGGGACCGCACCCTTGCAAGAGCTTCCTCGTCCACTTTACCTGGGGTTGATGGATGAGCCCGAGAGGCATGGCGAGATGCAGGAGATTGAGCATCATGGCCATCTTCTTCCTGTGCGGCTTGGGAGGGGCTAGGGGCGGTAACATTTGTTGACGAGGACAAACCAGTAGTCTCAGAGTCATCTGAGGCCGCGTCATAGTCGAGCTGAAAAGTACCTTGGGTGTTGGGGACGAATCCCGGATGCCGCTGAGAAGGTTGCTCAGTGCGAGCAGATGGTGTTGGTGAATCATTACCCATCCCAACGAAGTGTGTTCCGCGATAGGGATCAGTGGCGCGAGCACGCGAACGAAGCTTAGAAGGAGTGTCCTCTGGGCTTGCATCAAAACGCACCTTTTTGGATGACTGTCTGTCTGTACGGAGGGCACTGCGGGCTACAGACTTTGCTAGGCCATCGGCTTTCTTGCGTTCGCTCTGCTTGGATGGAGTTTCTGCCGCCTCATCCTCACTTTCAGAACTATAACAGAAATAATCCAAGTCCAATCCATAGCTAGATCCGGCTGGGTTGGGAATCACATCGGGCGATGGAGACCGCTTGCGCTTCCTTTGCTCCGCATCGCTAGATGCTTGAGACGTCTCAGGTTCTTCAGCTTGGACACCTGATGCTGCAGTCTGTTGAGGCTCAGGCTTCTGCGCCTGCGCCTGTTCAGTGTGGTGCGAATCCGGGGCAGCCACCTCTGGGGACACCGTGGAGGGCTTAGGAATGTCACCAAGGTAAAGGGACCTGTCAATGGGAGCAGGGAAAAGTGAATAAGATAAGTTACGGGCACGCTTCTTCGGAGGCTGCGAAGGCCCTTCACTCAAACGCCAGCGAGATCGTCCTTCCGTTTGAGGACCAGCTGATTCAGGGTCAAGAGACCTTGTGCGAGTAATACGTTCTGACGATGGTTCAATTGTCGCTACAATTTGTTAGCAAATAACAAGGGAAAAAGTTGGGGGAGGTGGGGGCTTACATTGATCTTCCGAGCTTTCAGAAGGCCGACGAAATGGCAATAGCCGCGAGAAGGAACGAGGTACAGAGCTGAGCAGTCCACGTAGATTCCATCCACGCTGAGGAGTTTCTGGAGTGTTTCTCCCTGGTGTTGATGGTTCTTGAAGCGCAGACGACTCATCTGCTGAGCTTTGATTAGTTGGTAAGCTCGGTTCCATCGTAAAGTCAAATGTTGTTTGTGGAAGCCGTGGGCTCGGACTTGAAGGGACTTTTTCTGCATTCTGGCGGTCAGCCTCTAGCTGACGAAGATAGTCGGGAAGGCGGAAGAGTGTCGATTCAATCCGGCCATGTTTTTCGGCTTCTCGACGAGCAAGCCTTGCGGAGAAGGGGGCCGCCCTGGTCTGAATCCGGCGCGAAAGGGGGGTACGCCGGTTGGCAAAGGGGGTACTTCCTGGCGGACCCAAATTCCGGCGCTTGTTTGCCGCGGGAGTCACGGGGGCTGTCCGATCTTCGTCGCTGGTCTCCTCGTGGGCTCTCTTCCTATTAACTGTGTCGGTCAGCTTGGGTTTCTCGTAGGACCGGTCAGCGCTTTCCTGGTACGACCAAGGGGGCCGTCGATTTCTCGGCGAGATCCTCTTGAGGCCCGCCACTTGAGTAACATGGTCCGGCACTCAACCGCAATTCTCGAGTGGGTTCGAGCTCCTCAGGAAGCGGGGAGAGTATTGCCGGGAACCATGTAGGCAAGAGGCCCGCTACACGAGTCGACGGAGTCGACCGAGGTAAGGATGGATCTGCGGACTCTGCCCCAGCTGGACAAAGTAGAGGGCCCAGAATCAGTTCGGGCTCCTCCGCCAACGGACCTCCCACGCCGTAAGGTTCGCCGTAGATAGACGACAGCATAATTGGGATCGAATCAAACAGCGTGTGAGGTCTCTGCTGAACCCGCTCCAGAAGCCCAAAGATGTCCATTGACGGACAGACTGGCGCATCCTCGGAAAAGATTGAGGCAAACGTAGGAGTATCAACAGAGGCACTCGAAACAACAGTTGCCTGGGAATTGGCGGCGGTTTGGAAGACGTCACCCGAGCTGGAGGTATCTCCGGCAGGCAACTGTGTTTCGAGTAACCACATTGGCAGTGAGAGTGACTCTGTTAGAAGAATGGCCACAGAAGAGCAAGGGACAGATTCGGTAATAGCCAATTTGCTGAAATGTTCCACTAACGCCTCCACCTGCTCATACTCTGCGGCCATTCTTCCTTCGGAGTCCGTAACGAAAGTGGAGATGGGGTCAATCTCCGACATCTCACTAAAGTCATCCGTAGTAAAACTCTGCAAGGGCTTCTACAGCTGACTCTCTCCACTCTGCTACGGTTGGTTCCACCACAGCTGGCTCAGAGGTGCTGGGTTCTTCCCCAAGCACCAAGGGCCCCCCTATCTAAGGGGAGATCGTAGAGCGACATGCCACCACCATCAGACGGTGTCTTCGACCGCTTAGGTAGGGGTGGTCCTATGTCGCTGATATTGTTGATCTGGTATTGATACCATCTGAAATCGACAATGTTTGGCGGCGCACTCCAGGGAAGCGCTGACCGGGCGGGGTGTGCTTAGGGGTATTTTGGGTCCATATGGTACTCACGCATAAGGGAAGAGCTTTTCAGCTCTGAAAGAACTGTATTATCTGCCAGTGTAACAGAATCTGGGTCCTGGGACTCGTTTGCGAGGTTTTCTTTGTCGCCCAGGGGCGCGGTCTCGGCGCGTTCTTCATTGTTATGGGATTCATGTTGGCTACCGTCGGCGGTTTGATTCTCCGTCTTGCGAGTTGACTTCCTTGTCGCTCGCTGAGGGGCTTTTCTCGTCTGTGTCTTTGCGGCTCTGGTGATCTTTTTGGTGGTGTCTTGACTTTTTGGTCGAGTTGTGGTTTGGGTGGAGACTGAAGGTTGCGCGTTTGGTTGCGAGGTGTTCCTAGTAGACCTTGTCCGACGAGGAGCACTGTCATCGAGGGATAAAAAGCCGCCAGGAGATGCTTGCTGCGATCGAGTTCGCATTTTGACGGATTGCCGACTGAGAGTGACTGTGGCTTAGTCGAAGCTCAGCGCGACAGAAAGGTTCACTATATGGTCTAGCTAGCCGAGTAGCCCTCTCTTCAAGACCAATAGAGGTTCGCAGATAAAGAGATATGATGCTCAAAAAATTCGATACAATATGGGGTTCAACTTGCGCGGTGTAGAATTAGTTAAATGGATCGATAGTCAGAAGGGAGATGTAGGAATGAGCGAAAGGTAGGTGAGAGACTTCTGTTTACACTCTATTGTGTTTCTAAGATGCGCCTGGTCAGAAAATTAACATTCACTTACCTGGCTCAACAAGTCCGAGGCATAAACGACGCGGTGGTACTGGGATACCAGAGAACTTTCGCAAATGAATTTCAAAACTCGGGACCACGTCCTGGCAAAATCATGAGGCGGTCAGCTGTCCACCCAATGAAGTCGGTTGCTATACCAGAAGAATTGTAGTATTCAAGTTTACTCTGAATGGCTTCAGCCTTTTTCGTTTTAATTTTTTGTCTTTTGGCATGGGTTTGGAAGGAGTCAAGTCAAATTTAAATTTCTTCTAGCCAAGATAGCATTGGCATAGTGGTCCTAATAGAACACAAAGCGTGCTAGTATAGATTGCTGAAGTGAGGTGCTACTTGCCTTTTTCTACAGATTAGATTTATTTATGCAAGTTCAAGGCCAACGAGTGGGAGAGCAAATTGCCTATGCACGATAATACATATGGCCTAATCACTTCAAATAGTTTCCAGGGGGGTAGAATTGTAATACTTGTACACGGTAAGTCTGTAGATAAAGAAACATCAAGAAAGACCAGGCAAACAAGCGAGCTCTTGCAGCACACAGGGAAGGTATGGATGCCATCTAGTTACACGCCAATGTTGACTTAATAATATAATGAAGAACAAATGAAAACATAACAATACAAACGCTAGCGAGCTATTACATGCTAATCTCACCCTTCCAAGCAGCATCTGACAGGCCCAGTGTTTCGATCAAGTGCTGCCATCTTGGACCACCCCGCTCCTTCCTACGCAGGTACCGAAGCAACTTCTGTCGCTTATGCACGAGGAGTCTCAAGTTTCTCTTGTTATGCTTATCTTTGTTGGTTGTCTGCAAGTGTCTGGACAAGTTCAGAATCTTGGCAGTAAGGATAGCAACCTGGACTTCCGGAGAACCGGTATCCTGGCCAACTCGAGGAGTTTTCTCGGGGTGTTCAGTAGCAGACTGATGCGATACGGCTGCAGGCTTCGGTGGCAAGTTCTTGTCGGTATTGTGCCGTCCAAACGTTTCAATGCAGTTCTGGATATGTAGGCGCATCTGATCTTGCGTGTTTCCATTACCGATCTTCACAATACGGCTGATTGCCTCCTGAGCGTTGCGGTGTTCCTGAAGATGCCTCTCGGATGCCTCCTTCTCAAGCTGAGGGTCTGCAGTGTCCCTGTCTGGGTTTTCGAGGGGAGATGTCAAGGTTTTCGAATATTCCAAGGCATCCTGGAGTCCCTCGGGAGTGACGAAGTAGTTGAGCCTGGCATCTGTGCTTGAAGGGACTTGTGGCCCAGACTTGACCGTTTTGAGCTCTTGGATGAATGGGGTCGGTGCACTTTCCACAGGATCGCCCAGAGAGTTTTCGCGTTCCTCGGCAAGAGCTTGTTGACGAGACAGATTGGCGGCTTTGCGCTGACGTGACTGTGCCATCAAAAACGGATCATGTCGTCGGCGTTCCCTAGTCTCCGCGGATCCCGCCCTAATAGATGTCCTGGAAGGATTCAACGACAACGCAGCAAGCGGGCTCTGAACATGCGAAGACCCTAGCATAACCGGTTATTAACTGGCGCAACACGATGGTTAGGATTGCGGCTTACCAGTAAAAGCCTTGAAGGAAGGCTGGAATAGGAATCGTGGAGGCATATCCGAAGAAACTGACTGGTAACTTCAACCTTTGCAAGACAATCAACTGCCCCAGCTCTGCCAACCTTTACGTCTGAAGGCTCCAAAATCTCGAAGGCCGAGAACAGAGCTAATCCGTATTCGGTAAGGTTCATTCACGTGATTTGGCCACGTAACGGTGGCCTGAGGCTAGCACAATTCGTACCCTAGCCCTAAAATTCACAAACGAAAATCATCCCAACGCGGAGGGCGAAAGTTCACCTTCGCGTCAGTCTTTCCCCCGTCATCACCACTGCGACAAGCGCCAGTCGATTGATATATTCAATTCGCTGTTCATTGCAATATCAATCGCCCACCATGGCCCCCTCTCAGCTTCCCCCGATCTTCAACCCCACCCAGCAGGACATTGAGCAGCTGCTCGCTGCTCAGTGCCACCTGGGTTCCAAGAACCTTCAGGTGCACATGGAGCCTTACCTCTGGAAGACTCGCCCTGACGGTGTCAATGTCATCAACATTGGCAAGACCTGGTAGGCGACTCAGCGAAATTCCGGGGATTTTGCTGCGTGGAAAAACTAACGTGCGCGCAAATAACAGGGAGAAGATCCTTCTTGCTGCCCGTATCATTGCGGCCATCGACAACCCCGCCGATATCTGTGTGATCTCCGCTCGTCCTTACGGCCAGCGTGCTGTCCTGAAGTTCGCTTCTCACACCGGTGCCACCGCCATTGCCGGCCGTTTCACCCCCGGTAACTTCACCAACTACATCACCCGCTCTTTCAAGGAGCCCCGTCTCATCATCGTTACCGACCCTCGCACCGATGCTCAGGCCATCAAGGAGGCCAGCTACGTCAACATCCCCGTCCTCGCTCTTTGCGACACTGACTCCCCCACCGACTTCGTTGATGTTGCTATCCCCACCAACAACAAGGGTCGTCACTCCATCGGTCTCGTCTGGTGGATGCTCGCCCGTGAGGTCCTCCGTCTCCGCGGTACCATCGCTACCCGCGAGACCGAGTGGGATGTCGTCCCTGACCTCTACTTCTACCGTGACCCTGAGGCCGAGGAGAACAAGGAGGTCGCCGAGGAGGCTAAGGTGGCTACTACCGAGGAGGTCGGTGCCGCTCCCATCGAGTCTGGCTTCGCTGGTGAGAACTGGGACACCCAGGGTGCTGGTGCTGGTGTTCCTGGCACTGCTTTCGCTGCTGCTAGCGCTGCTGGTCCTACCAGCTGGGAGGCTGATGGTGCTGACTGGGCCGCCAGCTCCACTCCTGCCGCTGGTGGTGAGAGCTGGGCTGAGACCCAGCCTGCTGAGGGCAAGTGGTAAATAAAATAAATAGCGACAATGGACAGCCGTTACGAGGGGCATGAGTTTTTTCTTTCTGCGAAGAATTGGCGCTGAGGAGGACTGACGTTTTAATTTTCTCTTCACCCATGATCTGACGAGTAACCGACAGCATCACCCGCAAGGAAAACTTCTCTTGACATGTCTATCCTAGTCTCTGTTTGGAAACCTATTTCAAAAGCAAGAAGAAAAAAAGGAGAAAAAGTGATCGAAGTTTCTGATCGGGAACCCTACAACTTGAAGCCGTCTTTTTCTACTTCCCTTGGTATGCTACAGCGAAGTCTCGTTTCTTACAGTCCGTTATCACGTCTTGTCCATGGTTCATCGGGGAGGAATAGCATTGTCAAAAATTGACTGGCGCTTACGAGGGAAAGATATCCAGTTGTTCTATTATCTCGGTGAGCTTCTGGGGGAAAGCCCTGTGCTGTCAATTTCCACAAGGTGGACTTGGTCGTTACCTTGGTTTCTCCCTGCATGTTAATTCTAGTCGTAAATGGAACGTGATACTAGCTACCACATGTACTATCGTGTATCAGCAGTATTCCGAGTAACCCCGGATAAGGCAATGAATGTAGCTCAGAACGTAGGCTCGTGTTAGGGGGCGTACATAGATACCATGGCATAACACCAAAGCTCCCTTTTCGGCTTCTCATGTTTGCCAAACCAAATAAACTTACTACTTTCTCCGTTAACCCTGGGAAGGCAATGACATTTAGCACTTGGTCAGCATGAAACTAGCCAAAAGCGAACAAAAGTACTTCGTCGGATAACCGATCAACTATAGATAGATATATATTCATCATAAAAAGGGTATCACAACACTCGACCGTGGACATATTTCCGCTCCCCCATCAAAGAACTATGCAGCCACCCTGAGTCTGCCCCCCACGATCCGTAGTTGTCATGCCTGCAAGCCTCGCTAGATCCTCGAACGTCTCTGCCAAAAGTTCTCCCGTGACAGCAGAACATTCTGCGTAGCGATCACACCGGAGCTCTTGTGCGATCCGATATGTCTGCTTGAGTCAGTTTTTGCATCCATCAGAAGGTAAGACAACATGGCTCATAAGGAACATTTTCAGGCCGAGGTACCCCAGGAACGAGGCACTTACTTCTTGTGGGTAGATGATACCTTCACCATCTACTCTTAAGTCTCTTTTCAGGCCTACCATCATAACAGGGATCCGCTCCCCCTGACCATGTTGGAAGTACCGGATAACGTCGTGTCGCCACTTTGAAGATCAGTGATTGTAGTTGACTTGTGGAAGAATCGATAAATATGCAAACTCACTGTTCTGAGATTGGTCAAAGTATCTCTGTTGGATATATCAAATGCTAGAAGAACCACGTCCGGCTTCAATGTCGACCAGTGCTGATTGGGACATGCGGTATCATATAACTCGAGGCTAAAGGACTTCTTTGAGAAACGGATATCATAAAGGAAAGGCTGGTCACTGTCTCGTAGGAGCTCAGGTTGGTTATGCGATCTATTTCCATTTGGCCTCCCGCGCCCTTGTTTCAGTGCTCTGAAGCGATAGATTAGTATTCCGCTGGAGGATAGAATTCAAGCATAGGAACTTTCCGACGGTAGGATACGTCTTGGAAGATACGATAAGGGTTTCAATAGCTTTACAGTATAGACTTACGATAAGAATGTCGTTTTACCGCATCCTGGGTCTCCTAGTAGGAGGATGGTCACTGTGTCCTCCTGGTCCGGATGACTCTCTTGGTTCGTCATTAGGGCGAATTCACCAAGTGCTGTGTTGCAGTAGATACGAAAACTTGTTGGTGGATGGGATGGAGTTAGGACAGTTATTGGCTAGCAGAACTTTTCCGAGCCTGTCTGAAGTTATCGTGTTCGAGTAGTAGTTGACGTTGGGTGCTGTGAAGATCAATGGAGCGGAGAGATATAAAAAGTAGATGTCATATCCACTTGGAATGCCACCATTACAATGTTAAACGGTATTAATAAAGCCAATTCCCTTCGTTAGATCATTACATACTTGATTTATCAAACCAGTCCTATGATAAGGGCCTCCAGGACTATGCATGTAATATCAAAAGCCACTATTTCCTTATCTAAAGTAGATCAAGCAGATCTCCGTAAAATTACCATACACGGATATTAAATTACTTAACAAAAATGACTTCAAAAATTTCCAACATCGGCCCCCGCCAAACTGCTCCCAAAGTTTAGCGGGTACAACAAACCATTTTCGCCAGCTCTAGGGGAATGTGGAGAGTTCAAAGTCGACTCTGTTACTACCCGAGTCGCATTGCACAACCTCTCTTGACTAAACGAACCTTTCAGATTCTCAACAATCGCCACGCGCAAGTTGATTCTCTCCCAACTGAGACCATGTCCGGCGCCGGGGAACCACTTCCACCTCAAAGTCAAACCGACTACTCGACCTGGACCCCGGAAAACCTGATCTCCAGAATTACAGAACTCGAACGCCAGCTACACTCCCGGAATGCGGAATTTGCTACCTCATCAAAAGTCGCCAACGAATCTGTACCTTCGAACCCAGCGCTCGATACCCCCGCCGAGACAGTGAAGGCTTCATCAAAGAAGGGAGCGCGCAAATACCAACCTCCCCCAGAGGACGATATCACACATACTCGCGCGCCGAATCGCTCCCCGAAGCAGCCCCGAGTCATTGATCCTTCCAAATACAATACCCGGTTTATAGCTCTGAAGTTCGCATATCTGGGGCAACGGTACAACGGTCTTGAACATGCTAATGGCAATGTCACGCCACTCCCTACGATTGAAGAAGAGATGTGGAAGGCCTTGCGTAAGACTCGTCTGATTTTCCCGCAGAACGGAGAAGCGGATGATTTTCAAGATACCAGGGGCCCAAGAGAGTTAAAGCCATACTTGATCAACTGGGAAGGATGTCAGTATTCTAAGGCTGGCCGGACTGACCGGGGTGTCAGTGCTTTTGGACAGGTTATCGGTATTAGGGTACGAAGCGCGCGACCCAAGCGTGATCATGTTGCGCAGGCGGATCCTAGCTCGGATACTACTATGCAAACCGGAGAAGCTACTATTTTAGCCGATGCCGCCGAAGACAGCTGGGATGATATCGCTGATGAAATACCATACGTCAGTATTCTAAACAGAGTGCTTCCAGAGGATATCCGGGTCCTGGCATGGTGCCCACACCCACCCGAAGGCTTCGACGCCCGTTTCTCTTGTCGGGAACGCCATTACAAGTATTTCTTTACCCAACCCGCCTTCTCCCCTACGCCAGGGCCTCTTGGATTCACCTCGCGTGCGAACAAGGCAGGAGACAGCCGCGCAAAATACAGAGAGGGTTGGTTAGACATCGAGGCTATGCGGGAAGCCGCCAAGTACTTTGAGGGAGCACACGACTTCCGCAACTTCTGCAAGCTGGACACCAGCAAACAAATCGAGAATTTCGAGAGAATCATCTACCATTCTGACATTGAGCTCCTTGACCCGCGAAGCAGCCCACTGGGCTATGTCGGCCAACCGGGGTTCCAAGCTCTAGAAGGCCCTGCTGCACAACAAAACTCGGGGTCGCCGGAGACTCCTTCGCCAACTCCTTCTCAAGTATATGTATTTAACTTGAGAGGATCCGCTTTTCTATGGCATCAGGTGCGGCACATGGTGGGTATTTTGTTCCTAGTGGGCCAGGGGCTCGAGCCACCGACTATTGTGCCGGAATTGTTAGACATAACCAAGAACCCGCGTAAGCCGACGTATGAGATGGCTTCCGACGCTCCCCTTGTCCTCTGGAACTGTGTCTTCCCAGATGAGGATAGCGGCAGCCGTGCAGATGCGTTAGATTGGGTCTACGCCGGGGATAGCAGACAGATAAAATCCCAAGTGGGCAGAGGGGATGGCAAGTACGGTCTCGGAGGGGTAGTAGACAGTCTTTGGTCCGTTTGGAGGCAACGTAAGATTGATGAAATCTTGGCTGGTACATTACTGGATCTTGCCGTCAGCCAAGGGGACCAAGGAGTTGTCAATGGTGAGACCAAAGGCGTCAAGGATGAGCAACAAAAGCGGAGCCAAAAAGTCTTCTATGGTGCGAATGAACCCAGACTCGGAGGACAGTATATACCGGTCATGCAGAAGAGAAAGACGGATCCCGTGGAGGTTCAAAACGCGAGATGGCTTGCAGCCAAACAGCGGAAGACTGAAAAGGGTGCAGAGCTTAGTCGCATGGAGATGTAGAAAGGAAATTCGGTTGTATGTCATACCTTTATAGAATAGTTCGCCTTTAGGTGTACTCCAATCAGACATGAGAATACCCGTTTTGAAAGGCAAAATAATTACTACCAACACCCCTTCTTGTTAAGATTTCGAATGATAGAGACAGTGCCGTGAACCCCTCCAAACCTCTTCCAGTATTGCCCGGTTCGGCAAAAGTTTCTGGTCATATACTGGTTAGGGCCCATCAGTTATCTGGGTAAGAATACTTACAGGGAACACTACGACAACATCGGGCTCCCCATCTACAATAATTGCTAGGTAAAAGCGGACTTCAAAACCTTTAAAAGCCTCGTGAATCACAATGTCCTGGATCTGAGTGGTGGGAATGAATCGTGTCGAGGCCTTGGAGAGATAGGTCAGGGACGAAGTAGAAGTTTGAATTCCTAAACCACGTATGACTAGCAGTGATTCCTCTGTATAACATCAGAAGTTAGCATTGAAGCCATTTACCGCAACAGCAGCACTTTAGCATACCCGTATAGCCCTTCCTAAAGACACCATAGATAATAATCGCGCTCACTAGAACGACAACCCAAGAACTGTATGAATCTACGCTTCGGGATATGTGTGACCCTAATGGACTCGACCATATTGTATTCCAGCGTACTAAAAATCCATCTTGGTTAAAGAAAGAGTGGCGGAGTCTTGCAATATTGAAGAAAACCACGCAGACGAAGACTAATGCGCGTAGAAGAACTTGAAGATAGTAGAGAATCTTTGCTGGCGTGCTCGTGTGCCTGGAGGCATTGGACACAGTGAACGAGACTGACGTCGGAGATGGACGTCGTAGTATTAGGCGACCGGCCATTTATCACTGATTTAAAAATCTGCGACGCTTTAAGCCGGATTGAAGCTATTGATATAAGTTCAATCCCAATATGCACGGGGTTAAGCATGGAGGTCAGTGCTGAGCAGTTGTTGTACTAATCCATTTACAGTTTAGTGTAGGCATCTTGCGACCAGAAGGCCGGGCCGCAATACATCATCACGTGTCGCGGGTCGTATTCCATTGCTGTGAGCGTCACCCTGGTCGCTAAACTACATTACCCTACGTTGTTGATCATGGGCGAGCGTTCAAGGAGCAGATCGCCAGGGAGAAGGCTTGATAGGGAAAGGTCTGACAGGGAGAGGCCTAGAAAAAGTGGAGGGGGAGGAGGTTTTCGATGGAAGGACAAACGGCGCGATGGCGACAGCAGACACGATGCAGATGAACGCAGATTGAATCGGGGATACAGAGATAGGGAAGAACGGGCACGATCTCCACGACGTGACAGAGATACGTACCGGCCTGAGGATAGGAACAAGGATAACGACCGTGACCGAAGGCGTCCTGAGGGCGATGAGAGAGATGGACGGGACAGGAAAAAGAAAGAGAAGAAAGAGAAGAAGCCCGCCGTTCCTCAGTCCTCAGAACCCATGATTATTGTGCATGTGAATGATCGTCTCGGCTCGAAAGCTTCAATTCCATGTCTTGCATCGGATCCAATCAGTTCGTTACCCTTTTATGATCCAGGACTGCAGTTTGGCATCTAATATGTGTCACAGAGCTCTTTAAGGCACAGGTTGCAGCACGTATTGGACGTGAACCACATGAAATCCTCCTCAAGCGCCAAGGGGAGCGTCCTTTCAAAGATTTCCTAACCTTGGCCGACTACAGCATTTCTTCAGGAAGTCAGCTTGATCTGTGAGTGATCCTTTCCAAGGCTCGCCCTTGTAGCCTGCTATCTGTTGCGCTTCGAAACCTTTTTGGTTCGAGGGATTCTATGCTGACTGGTCTACAGGGAGGTTGGCACTGGTGAATAAATCATTGTGTACACTATACAGCTTTAGGTACCTGTGAGCAAATTCCTTTTCGACTTCTCCACTATAGCTTGTGAGGTCTGTCATGATGCGTCTGGTATGTCTTTGAGGGTGAATGCTGACTCTGCATTTCTTTGTAGGATATCCCTCGCAGGCGATTCAAATTGTATCACTGTATCTATACATGGCCTGGGTTTCTTCTTTATTGTGCTTCACCTGCTATCGCAACAAAACATTGGGAATTGGATGTGGAATAATGAGAATTGTCATGAAAATTACTATATTTCCCTTTCTTTTCTTTTGCCTCCCACCAGACCGCTGATGCTATCCGACACGTTATCTTTCCAAGTTTCCATGTACCTATTGGCCCAATGGAGACATTGCTCTTCTTGTAACGCAACAGCTAGCACTTTCATGACAGAGGGTGCCTACTTTCTTGCTTGGTTTGCGAGGGGAGTGGCTCACAACTTGCTGTTGTTGTTTTGGAACTACGGGTATCTCTGAAATCCGGAGTCGGAGCTAATTTTTTTCTCTCGCACCCTCCCACATGTCCCGTCATTTATCTTTCACCCGGCCTTTGCGGGGCGCATCGCCATTTTCCAGTCGTTTTTGTTTAATTTGTGTGCAGCTAGCCGGATGCGGCAGGCGGCATGCAGCAGCCTGGGGCTATTACGGCAGAAATCCGAGGCTTGGAGCACGTTTGGTTCCACCGGCGGAAGAGGCATTTTTTTTTCTATCGCGGGACTCACACGACCCTCTACCTCAGTCCTTTATTCAATGTTCTCTCCACTCCATCAATCGGATACTGTTCTTGAATCCCCGCCATGAGGTAGTTTTCTGTCTGTCTTCGCCACAGTTTTGTCCATTCATTGTTCAAAGCTTCTTTCAACCTTGAGCTAATCTCACCCATCAATAATCGCCCCTCCAGACCTCCCTCATCGGATATCCCTGGTTTCTCTCCACTCTCGACGCAGACATCCGCTCCATTGCTCATCTATTCTACCGCTTTTCCAAACCCCCATCAACCTGAAGATCCTACCACTATGGTACGCAATATCGTTGTAATTGGGGGCACTTCCCACCCGCAACTGACTCAGAACATCTGCGGCGTCCTGGGTATCCCGCCAGCAGACGTTCTCCTTTCGAAGTTCTCTGTGGGCGAAACCAGAGTTGAAATCAAAGAGTCTGTTCGTGGGAAAGATGTTTACATCATTCAATCTGGTGGTGGGAAAGTCAACGACCACCTCCTCGAGCTACTCATTACTATCTCTGCATGCAAGACCGCCTCCGCCAAGAGGGTCACCGCTGTTCTTCCTCTTTTCCCGTACTCTCGCCAGAGTGATATTCCTTACAACAAGACTGGCGCGCCTCTTGTAAAGTCAGCGGTCCCTGGAAAGTCAGACTCTGCAAATGGCTATACTTTCGAGAGCACCCCTACAACCCCATATCCTGGGAAGCCTGAGAGTGGAAGTCTTCTGAATGGTGTTGATAACCTACAGAAGAGCCTTGCAAAGGCTCAAATAGAGGATATCAGTACTGGCAGTCCTGTGAAGAAGCGCCCGACTAGTGGACTCTCTCGCAGTGAAACTTTGGATTCGCAACCAGAGAGCAGCAAGGCTGCTGTTTCCAATGGTGCTTTCGGTGAGGACAGCGTGAATAAAATCAACAGTTTCCAACCACGCCCAGGCTACAAGCAGTGGGTGGCTCAAGCAGGCACATTGGTAGCTGATTTGCTTGCCTGTGCTGGTGCCGACCACATCATCACGATGGACCTGCACGATCCTCAGTATCAAGGATTCTTCGATATTCCCGTAGATAACTTGTATGGCAGACCGCTGCTCAAGAGTTACATTCAGCGGAACATCCCCAATTACAAGCAGGCTGTCATTGTCAGCCCTGACGCTGGCGGTGCTAAGCGTGCCACGGCAATTGCGGATTCCATGGGTATAGAGTTCGCATTGATCCACAAGGTTTGTTCTGCTTGCTAGTTCAACATTCTTTGTGTTTCCTAATAGTTTATAGGAACGGCGTCCCACACGCATCACGGACCGTCAAAATGCCACTATGATGTTGGTTGGTGATGTGAAAGGCCGTACCGCTATCCTGATTGATGACCTGGCGGATACTTCTAACACCATTACCAGAGCTGCGAAGCTCTTGAAGAAGGAAGGTGCCGCTCAAGTTTACGCTTTGGTGACTCACGGTATCCTAAGTGGGGATGCTATTGATCGAATCAACGCCAGTGCCCTTGACAAGGTGGTAGTCACGAACAGCGTCGATCAGACGGAGCACCTGCGCCAGTGCCCTAAGCTGGAGGTTTTGGAAGTTGGCCATGTCTTCGCTGAGGTAGGTTGGCTTTGATACTTAAAGGAGGTTTGTTGCTAATACGTCGTAGGCTATTCGTCGTGTCCACCATGGCGAGAGTATCAGTGTCCTTTTCCAGTACGACTAACGAATCTATCCTACAACTTTTGACGTGTTTTTTTTTTATATCCTTCCTCTTGGAGGGACCTTTAGCATGAATCCTGAAAAACAAAAAAAGGAGTGATGAAAATAACTTATGTGCTGAAATGTTTGATTTTGTTGGACAACCCCCAACACACTGACGCCCCCTTGCTATATTGGATCTTTTTATGACTATACAATCCCATCATCGCATATCACGTAACTGCGTTGGATGTGTCGACCGATTTATGAAACCAGTAGATAGGCTTCTAGGCCAATCGACCGGACCTTATTTCAACCCTTGTCCTCCCACCTTTCCATTTGCCGCTCATTGCGATTGTTGCGATTACTCAGGCTGCTGTGTGACCTTTTCGCTACATATTTTTTTGCTCTACAACTGCGATTCTTCTTGGCATAACACAAACCTGTGTATTATAAGGAGTTTTGGCCCTGAACATGTATCTGCACGGATACACTTGTACTAACTTTCATACAAACATGACTAACTTAAACTCGAGTAGTGGACCGCGCAGTCTAAATTCATTGAATGTAAACGTTGCGACGACTTGATATTCAAACGTGTTAACATGAGAAATCGATGCTGTATTAAATAAACTCGATAGTTGTATCGTTTACCTCAAGAAACGCAAATCACTACGCGGAACAAATAAAGTTTAAATTCAAGATATAAGCAAATGATCAGCTCATCTATACTATACCGCACAAAACGAGATTCCCCAACGCCCTAGGCAAGTAGAAGAGATCAGGAACTGGCAATGTATGCCGGGCGGCTTGATGCGCTCGTCACAGAAATGGATAATTGAAAGCTAGTCACAAGACAAATAGATGGGAAAGGGAAGAGGGAAAGAGATACATAGAATCATATGGTTCAGGGTAATAGGGAAGTTTTGTGAATGCGAATAAATCACATGAATTGAATATTAGGTGGTGCAGAGAAGGGACACTTAGAAGACAGAGATGAAGTTGCCAATCCGCTCTTTCTGGTGCTGCGCAATGCACTCCGCGATCCACGTAACATTTCGGATTTCCTGTATATGCGTGGTTAATTCTGGTGCCTCTCGTACTAAACAATTTTGGACTGACCTGCTCTTTCAACCTCATCCATGCATACACTACCGCCGGGGTAAACTGCCGGGTGAAGACGACCTTTGACATTTCCATTTCCTTTTGGTAGAACATGTCCTCGAGACTCTTTCCATCCGAACCACCACCGAAGCCTGCACCCTGGGTAATGCCCACAGCATCAAAGAAGGCCTTGTAGTCAGCCGATATGCTGACAGCAAGCGACACGGACTCCAGATCTTCAGCCCGTGAAAGCATCAATGAGCCCTCAGGGTAGAGTTTACCGAACTCCGGGTACAGCTTTCTCCGTTCCTGCTTCGAAAGCTCTGTGCCAAACGAGTTCAAGGTGATATTGATCGCACGGCGATCTGCCTCGAACTCTAGAAGTTCAGACATGACCTCTTGTGTAGGTGTGCCCTTGAAATCTGGGTGCGTGTTCACGAACTGGTAAAAGTCCTCGAGGTAGTTTTTGTAGAGGGTGTTGCGCACGATCTCGATGTTCAATTCGTCCAGATCCTGGTGGCTGAGGCTGCCCTTGAAGTAGCCGGCCAACGGTGTTTCAATCAAGACAGAGTTATAAAGTTCCTCGATATTCGTGGCCACACACAGTACGGGCAAGGTCTCGAACCAGCCCAAGGGGTGGCATCGCTCCAGAAGCTCACGGGTATCACGTTCATGTAAAGTACCGGTAATAAGAAGAGCAATATTATCGATCATATAGCCGTAAGTCAAGTACTCGAGAAATCTGGCCGTCGACCCTGTGGCTTGGGTGAGTACATAGCGGAATTCAGCGACCAGCTTATCCGTCATCTTGCCGGCAAGGGCTGAGGTAGAGGGGTTGGGAGGAAGCGCGGCGAGGAAGTCCCCATATGCGGGGGCGAGCTGGAGTTTGACATCTGCAGCCAGTACTGGGATAAGTATATAGTAGATAAGTAGTGATACGGGTGTGAGCTGACGGACCATCTATAGTTTCGCATTGGGTCAGGTTGTTGTAGTGCTGGCTGGTGAGGAGGCTGTTCCGATACCCTCGGACAATGCCCTCAACATAGCTGTAGAGCATTAGTTTGACACTGCCATGAGACTTCAAATATATTACTGAGCCACACATACCCGCTGTTAACGTTAAAGAAGAGACCCTCCATTGTGCGATGACGATGCAGCTCGGGAGGATTCCAAAACCACTCCGCAAGACAGCTGTTGTATGTATCTCCATGTCCGTCAGTCGCTTCCCGCGTTACGTAATACGCACCGCCGCACGCACCAGCCACTCAGCCACTCGGATCGCTCTCGCTTTTTTCATTTTTTTACTTTAGACTCGAGGTAAAAAATTCCCGCCAGCAACGAGAAACCGACTTCCCCAAGCACGCTTTCGGTGGTTTCGTCCACGGTCGTTCTTACTCCCCGGCCTATCCAGCATATTTTATTTTACCTTTATAGCTGTTAGATTAAATATTTCTTGAACCAGCTGGGAATTGAGGCCGTCCACCATGACGCTGTTTATCCTCACCGAAACCAGCGCGGGTTATGCCCTGCTCAAGGCCAAGGACAAGAAGCTTTTGAAGAGAGATGATCTGGCTACTGAGGCTGCCACGGCAGAGGGTGTTTCGAACCTGTAAGTCATTGCTTTCGCTGCATTCTCGTGGGTGTTGTTCCAATATCACCGCACGCGCTCTTGAGGCAAAAAATTTTCCGGTGTGAACGGTCCATCTAACACCTTCGTATAGTGTGAAATTGAAGAGTTTCCAGAAGTTTGACAGCGCTGCTACGGCCCTGGAGGAAGTTGCTTCTCTTGTTGAGGGCAAGGTTACCCCTCGTCTTGCCAGCCTTCTTGACGAGGTCAAGGATGAAAAGAAGGTCTCTTTGGCCGTTGCAGACCCCAAGCTTGGTATGTCGATCGAGCCTCTGCGCAGTAGATTTGGTTCAGTTATTGACTAAAATTCGTAAAGGAAATGCCATTGGCAAGCTTCCCGGTCTCGATATTCAACTTATCGCCGACTCAACCACCACTGATATCTACCGTGCTATCCGTGAACATCTCCCCACATTAATTCCAGGCCTCGCCCCTCAGGACATGTCCACCATGTCTCTGGGTCTTTCCCACTCTCTTGCCAGACATAAGCTGAAGTTTTCTCCCGATAAGATTGATACTATGATTGTACAAGCCATTGGTCTGCTGGATGATTTGGATAAGGAGCTCAACAACTACGCTATGCGTGTGAAGGAATGGTACGGCTGGCACTTCCCCGAGCTGGCCAAGATTCTCAACGACAACCTGGCCTATGCGAAACTCGTTCTGAAGATGGGCATGCGCACTAACTGGGAGTCCTCTGATCTCGCCGAGATTCTGCCCGAGGAGCTCGAGGGCTCTGTCAAGGCCGCCGCGGACCGCTCCATGGGTACCGAGATCAGCGAGGAGGACCTGGAGAACATTCAGGCCTTGGCTGAGCAAGTTGTTGGCTTCACGGAGTACCGTCAGCAACTTGCCGGTTATTTGACCGCCCGTATGAACGCCATTGCGCCTAACCTGACTGCTCTTGTTGGTGAATTGGTTGGCGCCCGTCTTATCGCTCACGCCGGTAGCTTGACCAACCTTTCCAAGAGCCCCGCCAGTACCATCCAGATTCTGGGAGCCGAGAAGGCCCTTTTCCGTGCCTTGAAGACCAAGCACGACACTCCTAAGTATGGTCTCATCTACCACGCATCCCTCATCGGTCAGGCTACTGGCAAGAACAAGGGTAAGATGGCCAGAGTTCTCGCCGCCAAGGCCTCTCTTGGTCTCCGTGTTGATGCTCTTGCCGAGTGGGATGACGATGCTACCGAGGAGGATAAGGCTGCCCTTGGTACGGAGGCTCGGTTCAACCTTGAGAGGAAGCTGGCTGCCATGGAAGGCAAGCCTCTCAAGCCCCGTGGTGTGACCATTGCTCCCAACGGTACACCTGCACAGGCTAAGAAGTTCGAACTCAACGAGGCCAGGAAATACAACGCTGATGCCGATGCTGTTGACGAGCCTTCTTCTGCCAAGAAGCAGAAGAAGCTTGTTGAGGAGGTCCAGGATACCGAGATGGCCGATGCTGATTCTGATGAAGAGGCGGAGTCATCTGATGAGTCGGAAGAGGAATCGAGCAAGAAGAAGTCTAAGAAGAGCAAGGACGCTGACCTTGAGAAGATGGCCGAGAAGGCTGGATTGAGCCTCAAGCGGTACAAGCGCAAGCTTGAGCGCGGTGAGATCCAGTTCGATGCCGAAGGCAACCCTAGCTCGATCAGCAAGAAGGACTTGAAGAAGGCCAAGAAGGAGGCCAAGAAGGCTGACAAGGGCGAGGAGAAGAAGCGCAAGCGCTCCGACGACAACGAGGACAGCGAGAAGAAACAGAAGAAGAAGAAGAAGAAGGACGAGTAAATCATGTCAAAAAGTTAAAACTGATGGATCGCTACATTATTGTATGATATCACACTTTGTGGGTTCAATTTCTTGTCATTTGCTTGAAGACTTTTCTATTTTTTGGGTGGCATTTATAGGATGGATTGGTTCATCTATCCATGGCGCAGCGGTGCTTGTTGGTAAAGGCAGTTAGGTCTAATCTTGATATTATCCATCCATGTTCGTGGCTGTAGTACGGTAGCTGATTACAGTATCTCCGGACACAGGGCTATTTGGACCTGCTTCCATGTCTGTCTTCTGTCCCACATTCACCTCACACATACTACATCTACTCGCGCCGTTTATTGATAGATCTTCCTGCAACCCCTATTTAGTAAAAACAAGACGATGTCTCTTACTCTAAACTCCCTCTATATCGCTCTCTACATCCGCACCGACCCACCAATCCCAGACAACTTCCATTGGGCCCTTTACCTTCATCATGACGATACAGGAACAAAATACCATATCACAAATGAAAGCACCGGTTGGATTGCCGCGCATGCTCCGGAATCAGCCATCTTGAAGTCCTTTCTCTTGGTCGGCCTTACCCGCATCGCTGATTTTCCTTCTTCTCAGTCTGTCTTGAGCGAGGCAGACCAGTTGATACGCAGCTACGATGGTCAGGTCAATGAGATGGGGGTTACGTGTCGGACTTGGTTGTTGAAGGTGCTAGAGCTGCTGAAAAAGATGGACTTGCTTTGTGAGGGCAAGGACTTGGATTTGGGGGTTCTGGAGAGGAAGGTGATGGATTGAGGGAATCAGGAGGCGGGGGATGCAGTAAGGAATGTACAACCTAGACCTGTTGGAGTGTCGAAGGTCTGTGGGTTTAAGATGTAGCATTTGGTTTCTATGGATAAATGCGAGGATCTTTCTCTGATCATTGCCTCCATGTTGCTGAAAGGAACAAGTAACAAGCCCTGTCAGGCATGAAAGAGATGTTGATGTTTCCTCCACTATACAGGTAATTTACAGCCAGCTCTTTCTACATATCATTTATGCTTCAACAATATTCGTCTTCATGCACAAGTACGAAGTATCCAAAATGTTACCCAAATGTATTATTTTATTCACTTCAAGAGACAACCATTGCCGTTCATTTATACAGAAGCGCTAGGAGCAGCGCCGCTGGCAGCGCCCGTCGGAAGATCGCCCATACCAGCCATGTTCATGCTGAAGTTATCGTTGACCTCGCCACCATTCTCAGTCCAGTACCCCTCAGGGGAGAGAGAATCATCTCTCTTAGCGTTGATGCCAATTGAGATCCAGGCGAAGATACCATCTGAGACATTGTCACCGAGCAGAACATATTCCATGAATGGGTCGGTGGTGTCAGCCTCCGATGCAAGGATGCTATCATCAGAGTTCTTAGTCAACTCTTGCGTGTTGGTCGAGTATGGGGTGTTCTTCTCGACCTCACTGATGAGGTCCTGGTCGAAGAAGATCTGACCAACATGCGAGGAGTGACCGTCGTACATACCGGCAATAGTACCGTTGGGCAAGATCTTGGTCTCATTTGCGGGGTGGGTAACCACTGTATCAAATTGAGTCGTTAGCAACATACTTAATTGTTTAGGTAGTTAGCACATCTTCGGTGAGGTCATACCGTGAATGTGAATAGCCCGGCCAGTGTAGTGGCCAGGGAAGATGGACTCAAACCGGACAACACCGTCGTGGCTGCTCGGTTGAACACCGCGAAGGAACGTGGTGTTGACGTTGCTGTTATCGTTCGAATTGCCGTTGCCGTTCGCGACGACACCAGAGTAAACACCCTAGAGCAATGTTAAAGTAAGTCACAGATTTTCAACGACCTCCGGTAGCTAAAACCGTGCTTGGTAGACGCACCGTGGAATTGCAGTGCCAGATATCCGTGTAGATGTCAGGGAGAGGGTTGCAGGTGTTTGTATCGATGAGTTGGATGTCCATGTAGAGAGGCACGCCCTGCTGGTCTTCGGCTACATTCTTGCGGATCAGTTCACCAGCAATGTCTGTCTAAAGTCAGCCAAGTGACACGCAACAACCGTTCTAATAATCGTACAGTAAGGTCCCTGCGTCACCTCGGGTTGTACAATACATGTACCCTCCGAGCCGAATAGGACACCAGGGTTGGTGGAAGGGTCAACATGAGTCAGGTTGGAGTGATGATCTGTCGTCAGCACAGAGTCCAAGTCCCGTGCTTTAAGATATCGAGCCCCTGAACCTAGATCAGCATGCACTCCATAGCATAAACCTTGCATCTTCGTTTAGAAATCCACGCGCATACCGGTATTCAGCCCCCTCTGCCTGCGTAGCAGCTGCACAGCATTCTCACGGCGAGCAATGTTGAGGTCCTCAATACCACGTGCCTTCAAGCTTGTGGCACAGTGAGCGAGGCTGCGTGACTGAATTGGAGCCCTTTGCAGGAAGTTGGCACGCTCAGCAGCTTCCGCTTCGACATTGTGCCCTGGATGAGAGGACACAATGCTTGCTATATTAGCAAGGCCGAGAACAAGAGTAGAAGCAAGCTGGACCATGGTTACTTGACTAAGGGAGGAGAAATAAGTCTAATGACAGCTCTTGTGAGTTGGAGGAATTGCGACTGAGGATGAGGACGTGAGCTTTATATGCGCTGCCTCTACAGCACAAGTAAAGATATTAGGCCAATTTAGTTAACAGCAGAGTTTGGATCTCGTTTAGATACCCACGAATGATATCTAGTATATTTTGCATCTGTCAATGGTGCTGCAGTCTGCAGATCTTAGCACGATTCCTGTTTTTTTGCCGGTACCTGGAGTGTATCCCACAAGTGCTTGCGGAACACTGTTTAGGCGCCTACATTTCGAAGAAGTTGTTCTTGACGAGAAACGAGAGTACCTACGAATGAGGTCCACATAGATGACGAAACTTTGGGCGCTGTTGATTCTTGACCCAACTACTAGATAAACGAACTGTTCTAGACTGCATGCTCCTGGGCCATATCATGGACGGTTTCACTAGCTGCAGCAGTACTTCAAGTTGTTTATCACTCGGAGTAAATCGTTATGCATGTTCACCCCGTTTGATTTTGCAGGCAGCACTATTCTGGTCCGTGTTACTATTGACAAATGGACGAGGTTCATTTGATCGCGGAGTTTCCTTCTGGCTTTTCACTTCCGTCACACCCACAAGAGCATGTATTGATCTGGATTAGATATTCATGGGCTGTGAGGATGCTACCTAAAGTAAGAAAAGCTTGGTATCGTATAAAAAGTATTGCAGAGAATGCCTCTTACTATACTTGGCTTTGTATTATGTTAGTAAATACCATTCTATGCTGGAGTTAATTTTGGTGCCTTGCCATTGTGGCTCGGGAAGTATGGATCGTCTACCCGCTGATGAAACATCAAGTGCTCTATTTGAAATATATCATTGGACTATTGGATACTGTAACTCTAAGCGCTCCAATCAGAGACAATTGTATAGCTCTTTGGGTCTGCATGCGCAGACCGTAACTAGGGCTATATCAGATTGATGAAGTGCACAGACACTTTGCGGGGACCTACCGGCTGAGTCAGCGGTATTCATTTTCTCCGTGATCGACAGTCAACGCTGATCACTGGAGCATCTCCAATCATCTCCAAGATATTCTTCACCTTCGCCCACTACGTGAGTCCCTAGGTCGGGGTATAAATCCTGAATATTCCTGGAAATGCATCCATCCATAGAAGCCAAGAAATGATTACGCGGTGAACTAAATAAAGGTATGTGATGTGCTTTCTTCACGGCTCAGGATAGCCCCACGTTCGTTTGGGATAGCAACTGACTTTCAAAGACTTGAATTTGATGAACACGCAACCTTGTGGTTCAGCTCATGACTGTGTAAATTGATGGTAGAAGAAGTCTAGGTTTCGGCTACAATTCTTTTTCCGTGGGGGTCTTTGGAATCATGTGCTTGTGTGCGAGAACTTGTTATCTATCTCATAGGGGTGGGGAGGAGTTCGACAACCCTTGCCTACAGGGAACACATCCGACCTACGCTGGGAACCTGAAAAATGGAGTTCTTGGCAAGACACCGGAGACCGTCGGTGCAAGACATGCTCCGCTTCCGTGGACATTCTGATTCACGGCTTCTTGGAGGTGGAGAATCTGCAGAGGATGGCAGATGCAATGTCGGGGTTGGAGCGGAGTGTACTCCCCGAGAAGTATAAAGGTCCCACGGTCACCACACTCATTAAGCTGCTCACGCCCTTGGCCATTCATTGACAGTCATTGGAAATCAAACATGTTCCTTTCAAAGCTCATTTTTGCTGCTCTAGCAGCGACCACTGCATTTGCTCATCCTGGCCCTGACCATGCCGTGCCTCGTGCAGAGATTCAGCGGCGTAATGGGCTAGCCAAGCGATGTGCCAACCACGCAGCGGATTTCAATCGACGCCGCATGGCGAAGAGAACAATGCAGAAACGCTGGGAAGGGTCGGGTCACAACACAACTTTCGAGATTACCACGGACGCCCCTTACTACGACACCATCCAGAACGACACTTGTGTCCTCAATCCCGAGGTAACCCGTGGTCCCTACGTCTGGCCGCGCTCTCAGATTCTGCGCCAGGATATGACGGAGGGCCAAGCAGGCGTGCCTTTGTGGCTGGATGTGGGAGTCCTCGACATGGCGACCTGCGAGCCCTTACCGAATGTCCTCGTCGACTTCTGGCATTGCAATGCGACCGGCTCTTACTCCTCGTTTACCCACCTTTCGCCCAACACCCCGTTTGAAAAGCTTCTGGTTGAGCTGAACATCACTGATTTCGAGATTGGTGTTACTGATCTCCATACGGACGATACTACCTTCTTGCGGGGAATGTGGCCCACTGACGAGAATGGAGTCATGGAGATCAAGACTATATTCCCAGGTGAGACCTAACAAGATGTGAGGCAATAGATCTCCGGCCATTAAACACTAATGCATCTGTATTATAGGGTTCTACGTCCAGCGTGCTATTCACATACATGTCCAAGCACACACTGACTGGATTGTCCGAGGAAATGGCACAATTGTTTCTGGCAATACCGTAAGCACTGGACAGCTCTATTTCGACGAAGCGCTTTCGCAGAAGGTTATGAGTTTGGAGCCTTATGTCTCACACACTCAAATCAACCGCACCACCAACGCACAGGACACTATATTCCCCGAGGGCACTGATGGAGGATTCAATCCCGTTGTATCCGTTGTCCCAGCGGATGGTGAGGATATCAGCAAGGGGATGATTGGATACATTACTATCGGCGTAGACACAGCTGCGATTGAGACGTTCGAGAAGTAATGGTCTACATTGGCTCGAGTCTTCGGGGTTTGAATATGCAAAGGTTACCTGGGTTTGTATGGGACTTATTGGAAGAGGGATCCAGTTGAACACCAGCTGCAAAATCAAAAAGAGAAAGAAAAAGAAACTCAGATGATTCATATGTACTACTAGAAGAATACGTCATCTCAATAGACTTGCCATAAATTTAGGATGGGTACTATTTTCAGTGTTTCAGGGGTTCAATTGTGGTGGCTCGTCACTAGCAGGACTTAGTACTATGCCCGAAGCGAGCAGAGTGGGTCATGCTTAAAACCAAATTTATCATGTGGAGGTTTTGTCGGCAGCAGACCAGCAGTGGCCCGGTGAGAACCCGGGGGAAATCCACCATTCCCATTAGGCCATTCGTTGTCCTGTTTCCTACGGGGAAAGTCAATTATATTCTTTGCATTCCTGCATTATCTCCCGATTATCGGGTTGTTCAATTATACCAGTAGACTCATTCTAGCAGCCAACTTCATGAGCGGATCTGCCGTCGCTTCACGTGGTGGAAGAGTGCGGACGGCCTGCGATCTATGTCGGCATCGGAGGGTAGGTAAACGGCAACTAAGTTGTGGGGTAATAAACTAGAATCACTAATTATTGACCTTTTTTTCCATTATGCCTAACAGATTGGCTGTGACAGAGCGAAGCCAGCCTGCGAAACATGTACTCTTGCAGGGGTGCCTTGCACGTTCACTCCAACAGCACAGCAACGGAAAAGTGTCCGCGAGTAAGATGCAAGCAGCCATCCTCTCAACGGACTCAATTAACTATGTCATAGAGAGCTGGCCGATGCGAAAGCTAGAGTACGACATTTGGAAGAAGCATTGAGGGCGGAGCGAGAGAACCGTCTGAATTCGGACCAATATACGCCTCCCAAGACTCTTTCAAGCGGAAGCAGTCCTCTTGAGGTCCCTCACCAATTACTCAGTTCGTGGTCAGCCACCACTTATTTGCTTGAATCACACAGCTTCGATGCAGCGCTATCAAACTTCCGGTGGCATCTCGGGTTCTGCGGTCCTCGCGCCGCTCCTTTTGCTCTAACGCCATCCTTCTCCTCCACCGTTTATGAACGGACGGGTTTCGTTCTCAATATTGAAGATTTCTTAAATCAACTAGGGCAGTCATTCAAACTACAGCATCCAACTCATTCAACGAGGACCATTGTTCCGAAGTGGCCCCCGCTGTCTCTCATCCAGCGTTCAATAGAGTACTTTTCGAAAAACAGACTCTATTCCATTTTCCCTGCTGTCGATTTGGAAAATACACCCATTCATCTTGATCAAAAAGCCCTTGGCAATCCCGACAGCACAACCAGTCCTGCCAGCTACGCCTGTCTGGTTGCTTTAACGGCTCTGATCACACGAATCCGCGGCGACGACCTGGCTTTTGCTGATGCCGACCCTGATGCGTATGTGCAAGCAGTGCTGACTTTGTTACCCGAATTGATAATAGACAACGCCAACCTACGAAGCCTTGAAGCTCTCACCTTGTTAGTAAGTGGCTCTCACGGTTCTTAGATCAAGGCCTCTCTTTAACAATTACAGGTCCTATACATTGCTCCCCTTGGTCAACCGCGGCCGGCAGGTATTCTACTTGCCATGGCCATACGAATGCTGTATAATATGGGAGCAAACCGAAACAGGGCACCCCCTGATGAGACTTTAGAACAGAGCCAACACCGCCAACACGTGCGAGCTCTGTTTTGGATTTGCTACTCCATTGACAAAGAAATGTCGCTTCGAGAATGCAAGGCTCCTCTGATAAATGATGCCGACTGTGATCTGTATCTGCCTGCCGCTTATGTATCGACTTCCTCTAATCGGTCGTTCTTTCCAGAGCCTTTATCAGCAAAAGAGCTTCTCCTCCCGTCAGACCTTCGTCTTGCCCTAATAAAATCCAAAATACAGCATTTGCTGTACTCTGACCATGGTATAGCCCAGCATGAAGCAAGGCGGATTCAATACATCCGTGAACTGGATCAAGAGCTGAGCGACATCAAATCGAACTTTCCGGTTACGTGTCAACCGGAAGACGTTTTGGACCGAAGCGTGCCTGACTCTTTACTTCATGATCTCAGTCTACGGGGTGTGAACATACATCTGGAGTACTACTACTGTCTAGCAAAGATTCATGGAGCGAGCAGTAATGGAGGTATACCATCTCCTCAGAGCTGGTCCCTACTACCGTCTAGTATGGAGATTTGCCACCAGTCAGCACGGTCGACTTTACTCTATCTCAGTCGAATGCGCCATTCGATAATGCCTGAAACCTTCTGGTTGGTATGACCTCTTTGGTTGAGCGTGCATGTTCGACTAACCCCGGGTCCATTCTTTTGTGACAGGATTTATGCTCAATTTCTGCTTACTGCAGTAATCTCTCTCTTTTGGCAACTGATTACCAACGTCCCTCCCTCGCCGACTTCGGAGGGGGACCTGCAGATTTTAGAGGAGACCGCGGGTATATTCACTGAACTTAATCGAGATAACCAAGAGGCGAGTTGCTTCCCTCCGTTCTATCTCACTGAACCTTTCATCCAAAGATTGGTCTTCTTAGCAAGACAGTCGCTATACAGGGCTGCGAATCAGTGATCATACACCATGCTAGCGAGTTTCAGTGCGACAAGCATGCACATAACACTATGATAGCTTGACGATTGCCTCTGGGCAACAGTCAACCTTAAGCCATAGTGTCCCACATGAGTTGAGCAGAATAGGTAAAGGAGAAGCCTCAAATGTTCTAGTCCGGTGTAGTTCATAATCCATGGCTATGCGGTATGTATTGCAATTTTCCCTATTGAGTCTTGTATGAACCCTTTCAGTGCCGTATTCACACAGCTTCAATAGCAGTGGGTCAGATCCAACCGTATAATGGCAATGTCACGTTCCACAAGCAGGTGGGGGAAGAAAAGGCCAGGAATTCATCGATTGATCGTCAAAATGACTTGGCCCTCGTCTCTCTAAGATAACATGAATATGCTGTGCACTGCAACGGGCCGATGGAAACTCATACACGGTGCCGAACATAAGCCAGTCTCTATCTCCAGGTTGTGGAACTGGAGCTTATCATGGAAGGGCCGTAGCGCCTCTACCTGCATTAAACCATGCATCTTGCATCCAGCTGTTAACTTTACTGGCCGGGTTTTTCTGTCTCTTTATGCTATCCTATCCCGCCCGGTAGACATGTGATATACTATGAATCAAATCATGAATTTTCAAAATGCTGTTGATATCTCCGATCTACATACCGAATACCACGCCGAAAGGCGGAATCACATAAAAACAGATCTCCACCGCCCAATTCTGCCGTCAATATCTCCTCAATTTTCCCATTCCCCTCACATTTTCACTACAATACATACTACATGAAAGAAATCCCAAGCACACCAAACACACTTAAACAATGAGGGTACGCTCCCAGTCCCCAGCCCCAAAGACCCCACAGCAAATCTAAAAGTAAAACTCCAGGTAATCGACCCCCAATCGGCAGTCCTCACCAACATCGAGGTTCTAGCTACCTAACAGCAAACCCACCACGCCGACCACCAAACGCACCCCCAAACCTCCGACACTGGGTCCCAAGCCCAGACCTACGCGACCACAATACCGTCGTTAAAGAGGTACATACATACCCTTCCGCCTACCTTCTCCCCAAATCCAACTTCACAACAGCACACATCTACAATAGAACCAAGAAACGGATCTATCTCTCACATATACATACAACACCAATGCACCAAACCGATATTACAAAAAAGAGAAAGAGAGAAAAGCTAATATAGTCAGATCCACAACTATGTCTCCCGCCTCTCCCCCCACCTCTACAAATATCCAAAATACACCCACCAAAGCCCCGAACAACTCCAACAACTAGCCCAATCGCAATCCCAGAGCGATACCCCGGCCCTCCCGCTCATTCAATCCAACGCGCCGACACCCATGGACATCGCGCTCCGGGATCTGATTACCGAGCTACAGCCCTACGGGTTAACGAAGGGTGAGGTACTAATGATTGTTAATCTGGGTGTGGGGATGCAGGATGCGCCCGCGGCAGCGGATGAGGATGGGCAGGAGGAGGAAGGGGGAGAAGAAGCTGGGGAGGCGGAGGGGGAGGCTGTTAATGGGAATGGGGAGGGGATGGATGTTGATGTTAATGGGGAGGGGG